TGAATTCCCCATGCACTTGTAGTTTGTTTCTTGTCGACATTGCGTCCTGACTCGATGCCATAATGCCAGAGATTGCACTACAATAGATATATACAAATGCAATCACGGATGCAACCATAAATTCGCTTCTTTGGGCAGAGACGTGGAGACGAAAGACATTGTTGCAACCATCGGTCGCGGCTTAAATTTGGACACTTCAGTCTACTATTACTTAAAGGCGTGGAAAAACAGTTTCGTCACCGTTAATGGAACTATACTTTCTTCTAAATCCCTGCTAATAGACGATATACTCGTATACATTTACTTGTTCACGTCGCTCTTTCAAGTAAACGTCGACTTCGTCCGCTTCAAAATCTTTATACAATTTTTGTGCAGGGATAAGGTCGTCTTTTTGAGGAATGTCGTCACCAAACACTTTATAATTCAAAAGAAATTATTAAATTACTAATAAATATTATTGCAAAATACACACTTTCCGAAGTAGTTCTAAGAAGCAATGCGCTGCTTTTAAGGAAAATTACCGCGAATTATATAATTTACACGTAAAAATTTATGCCATTGGGACTGTTGAAAAAATACCCATGCATGCATGTATAGTAGGCTATTGTAAATTCTAGCGAAGGGCACTACAATTATATAAACAATTTCCCACGTTTTGTGCACGAGATAAGTCAACTTGAAATTCTATGCCATTTAAGTGAATATGTTCTTGCCTAGTTGCACTGAAACCGATTCTTCTCACTCTGGCTTAGTTGAATGAATTTAACATTCTCTCATGCAAGCATGCAATCAGATATCCCTAGCTATTCTTTTATTTACACAACGCATCTTCCTTCTAGTAGGCATTTCACAACATACCATGACGTTTCACCGGTGGCATTCGACTGAGGTTTTCCAATCTTTTCTCCCAGAAATCCTCGTCCTCTGACGCAGATTCAATACGATCACCAACCATTATGCTGGGATAACCACTGTCATAGACACAACGACCATTCCATTTGAATAATGGCAGAGATCGATTTGATTGAAGTTTCTTCGAAGTTGAGCAGGGTTTAAACTGAAACAGGGAAGAGAAGGATGATTGGATAAATGAAAAAAGTTGCCAAAAAATTCTCTCAATCCTGATTTTATTTTCACTTATGACTTTCTGTAAACTCATACAGTCTGATTGTATTCATTCAATTTTGCTTTGAAATTAATTGGAGAAATTTTAATTTATAACTGAATTTCATTCGTACGGCACACTGGGCACAGGAAGGCCCGAACTTAGAGACATTTAAATCCCACCTTCTGTGAGGCTCGAGGATTATCATCATGGACGGCTCTTTTCTTAATTTGTTGGCTCCCGATTTGTTTCGAAATGAACTGCCGGCTTTCTTCGTTAGCAGACAAAATCGTCTCACTTGACGTGGATGATGAAATTCTCGACGACTGAAGACATTCTTGGAAATCGTCGAACGAAGAATTGAAAGTTACACTCCGACCACGGGACGATCGGTCATATGAAAAGGCCGACGGCATAGGTGTTGGAGGGCGGAGTGGAGCAAAATCCCGAGAGTCAGGTGAATATGACTTGCTTCGTTTCGAGAACTCGGAACGCCGAATCTGTACGTCTGGTGGAAGTAGAAGAGGTTTCATGGTCGAGTTATGGGATGGCGTGAATTCCTCAATGGATGATGGTTGTCTTAAGGAAGATTCATCTCTGCTTTTATCCTGATTTGATTCTCCCAAAACATCGCGGCCCTCAACTGTGTTGCTTTGTTCAGTTCGCCGACTCTCGCTTTCAATTTTGTGGTCAGAACTTTGATGTTGAATGTCGGACCTGTTATTGAATGCGGATGTACCAGGAGAAGATTGCACATGGCTGTCAACACAATGTTGGAACGAAATGTTGGAATTCGTATTTGTAACTTTCAGACTTCCGTTGGTTGATGTGCTCGTGTTCTTAGTTTGGTCATCTTCTGCTTGAAAGGTCACGGTTGATGCAACGATACTAGCATGTTTCGAGGTTGCATCTTGGCTGTTGATTGGTTCTGCAGGGTTCTGACTTGTACCATGCTCTGACTTGTAAGCGACACTCTTCTTGTTTCTATTCTTATAGATGGACTTAACACTGACAATCTTTTTTTCTTGAGTACTATCAGGTTCCCGCGGTTCCTCTGCCGTCTTAGGTTTTTTCCTTCGAGTGCGAAACAGTCGGATTTTCTTGATCGAGCGCTTTTTTTTTCCAGTGACATTCTTGCCTGGCAATGTTGTATTGTTTGCAGGCGAGTCACAACTGGATTCGTCAGAGAGGCACAGTACTCCTTCAGAGACAGCACTTGTGTGTTTCTCCGGAACTTTTCCACGATGTTTGACAGCTGGGGCAGGATGAGCCTGTGAAGTGTAGAAATTATATATCTATTATTCCTGGTGCCGACTTAATTAATGAACCGTGAAAGATGAAAAAATCTTCACACAAAATACAACAATACAACATAATGAATAAAACCTGCAGGATGCCTAAAGTTTATAGGCAAAACTTTGTTATTGTTAATTTGTTCCCAGAGAGCAAGTTCGCGGGAAGTGTTTATCCGGTTGTATGATTTATATAATGTTTTTGAAACTCATAACATTTATCTTTTTTCTGTATTTTCCGTGCAGTTCTCAAATAGACCAATTCATTAACAGAAATCTAGATTATGCACTCCCTGCATTTACGACATAGCTACATGGCTACATTTACGATATAGCTTCATTATATCTGGCACGCGTATTCATTGAAAAACTCATTGAAGATACTAGATATATAGGTAGAACGTTCAGCCGTCGAAAACAAACAAAAACAGCAACAACAACAACAACAACAACAATAACGACAACAACAACAACAACATATGCAACTATCGCTTTAGCTAACCTTGAAGCGTCGAGTTTCTGCTGATGTTTCACCTGAGCACTGTGGGTCTGCAACAATCGATGATGCTGGAATACCTGCTTGAATGCAATACTCAGGAAAATCTGCTTTAAACTTCTCAGCTCGAAGCCAGATCTGATACCGTTCTAACTCTTCAGCTTCTTGTCTCGCCTCCTCTTCCTTCCGTTTTGTCTTCTTTCGCTGACCGGAAAAGCCGCAGTAAATTACGCATTTCCCGAGGGAGATTTTATTTCCCATTTTTTTTTAAAAATTTACCCAAAATAACATTTTGGGAATTGAAATATACCTCATGTCAATGAGGTTAAAACTCGTTTAATTTTTTTTTTAATTTTCTCACTCGCAAGCTGCAAAGTAACATGTTTATGCACTTCGCAGCTAAAAATTAAATAAATGCACGTCATGATTTGTGACATCATAAAATTGAATGATTTCTGTCCCGCGTGCTCAGCGCGTGTTCAAAAGAGGAAAACTAGGTTTGCAGCTGTCAGGTCAGTTATTTTCCATGATTATCAAAACGGTGGCTTGACTATAAACTATGATCACACGTACACAATGATAGCTCAGTATGTTGCGATGCAACGTATAATGCATTTTCGTAACCCTACTTATAGTCTAAGAAAGTTTTAACAGACTTTGACAAGCCGTCTCTCTCACAGCTCTTAGGCCAGCTAATTAAAATCTTCGCAAGCAACTGAGCAAGTGGAGCAAAATTATACTTGTAATACCGACGCTTGTGTGCATTGCGATCAATGCATTCCGTGATAAGAGTATTCAAAAGATCAACCTAATCATCAGCAACTCTATTGCACGTTCTAATCGAAAAAGTGTCGTAAAATCTTCTATACTGCCTTTTACCGGTATATTTTTATTTTATCATTCTATAAACGACTTCTCGTCATCCTAAAGATATAGTATCCAGTGTCCGTTTCCCAATTTAAAATGACATTTTTTGAATACAAAAATATGAGATGACGAACTTAATTACCCAATTCCCAATCAAGCAGGGTACTGGTTCTAGTCGCAAACCACAAAGCATCTATGGACTGTTTGAAGTGAAAAAGGATTTCAGACTTATATTTCCTGTCCCTCCAAACAGTCCATAGATACTTTGCGGTTCGCGATTCGACCCAGTACTCTGCTCGATTGGGAAATGACTATAATGGAGCGCGGAATTGGAGCGCGGATGAAAGAGCAGCTTTTTCGTGGCTCAGTAGGAATAAATTATAACGAAAGTATATATTCTAGTCTAAAATGTTTGACACTGAAGGTTTGTCCTTCATTCCAGTCCATTCCACAGTCCTGGTGTTTATGACGATTAAGGAAAAGATTGACACTCCAGCGTTTGTTTCTCTGGACAAATTACAATTCCTAAAAAAGGCAAATTTTGTGCCGCGAAAAAGATTTTCGGAACTTCCCTAGAACACAGATTACTCCTCACTGGTAAACCGTGCTGACCACACTGTCAAAGGTTTTAAAGCAAAATATATGCTTGCCGCGTATAATTTATTCCTATCGAACCACCTCAACATTCCGTTATGATACAAATCTGTAATCTGTAATAAGTGCATGGTAGTCGCGACAACTACTCGTCTGATCGATAAAATATACGACATAACATTAAGCACATTATAATAATAAGCACATTATAAACCATTATCGTTATGATATCATTAATTACCAGTCCTTTGTGGTACATATTTTCTATGTATCATATGTATCTGTATTTTCAGGTTAAAGGGCAGGGGGGGGAGAATATAACGGCTGTATTAGGTGTACCAATCATGTATTAACTTCACACAACAAAGTCGACTGTAAAACTCGTTTGACACCTCGCATCTTTCAATATTCGTGGTATGTCCGAAAAATTTAGTTACTGACCTACGGCACATATTATGTCGTCGTGTTCGGGTACCCCGGCGGTTGTGATAACAATTAACTGTCTCAGTTTTGAAGCATATATAAATGTTTTGAATAGTTTGCATATAAGAGACCTGCTGACCTTCAGAAACCTGACACTTGTTGATATAAAGAGGTCGCACATCATGATTATCAGTAACTTTTGATTAGTCTCTGACTCTGCCGACAAGCGAGACGCATACAACAGCACAGTGTGTGAACAGCTACAGTCCTAAAAAAAAAATGAAATTTCCTGTTGCTGCGATTTCATTCCAAATTTTGGTGCTCATTTTGTTTGCAACACTTGCAAGATATGATCCTGAGCAGACTGGGCCTGAAACAGGGAGTGTAGCAAAAAGCGAAGATCAATTTCGGCTATACCCAGGTAGGTGGGAAAAAATTGCGAAATAATTTTGGCGCGTACATGGCGTCACTATGGTAAAAAAAATACCAACTAAAATTGTCCCGTAACAAACCCAGAATCAAACCAATATTCCAATTTTGAGACACAGGGTTCGAAACGCGTTTAGCTTAAACTGTGGATAAGTTCAAAATGGGAAACAAAATGATCTATTTAATGAACAACTCAGCTGAAATATTTCGATGTAAATAGTTGACTTGTCAATGGAAGTACAAATTAAATGCATAAGACGCAGGTTCGGCTCCCAAGATCTATGAGAGTATTTTTAAACTTTGGCCTATCTACCGTTTAAGCTAGACGCTTTTCGAACAACCGGACCCAGGATTGTAAGTGAAGATATTTCCATACAGCGCAAATAAAATCCGTTAGTCCATTGTCTGACAGTCCAAGAGTCGGCTGCACGAAGGCTGGATAGCGCTATCCACCCGACACCGCGGATAGTGATTTTTTCAACCGTTTTAAAAATGCTCTAAAAGCGATACAATTTCATCTTTGGAACCAACAGTTATTAACAAAGTCCTCGATTTAGGAATACTAAGATTTGATCAAAGTTATATTAGCCTAAAGCTACAGTGAAGTGAAATACAATGCCTTCATGGTAATTCACTAGACTGATTGCGACATTCTTTAGGTACCTAACTTGGGACTATATACAATAACGTTGATGTTAACAGTTTTTCCTGCTGTCGGTCAAGATTTAATACATGAGATAATAGATACCATCAGACACAATGTTACATCGTACATGCTATTAATGCAATTTTGACAGTCGTACGATTATTGTATTCTTAACTTGTTCACTTACGCGTGCAAAAAGGATTATAGGACTCGAGATGAATAATCATATAATATATCCTTTATGTGAAGCAGATCCGATTAATAAAGTATAGACGCTTTTTGAAGCTTTGTTAGATGCATGGGTTCAGGGCCGTCCTCAGGATATTTTACAGGGGGGGGTGTAAGGTAATCTAAACCGACTGATCCACGGACTTGTACCGATTACACTCTGGATGAAACTTTGCAAAGTTTATATTGGATCGGTCCATAGTGTCAACAGTATGTTTGTCTGCCGACTAAAATAGCAATTTTACCGACTAAACCTAAGAATAAACTTTCTGGGGGGGTGTGACACCCCCCTAAACCCCCCCGTAGCTCCGGGCCTGCATGGGTTGCATGATTAGATTCTATAAATGATAAAAAGACCTACAAAAACACCCACGTTCGAAATAAGACTATATCAGCTTCTGATATTCCTTCATCAACTTCATCCTCTTCTAGTGTTTTCTTTTTAATTTACAAAACGTTATTTTCCTTTCTTTGGTTAAATCATTCCTTATCTTTTATTCAATTTTACTATTTGAAATCAGGCCGATATTTTCTCCGTGTTCATCAGTGTATGGACATTAATTGTACCATTGATTGATATGATTTCAGATTTCATCGTTACATAAATTAGCTTTCTCTTTCATAAATTGTTCTTTGTCAGAGCTGTTTATTTGTAAATAATAATAATATGATCTTACACACCCAGTGTTGTGAAAACCAGCTTTGTCTGACAAGCCCGAGGTCAACATTTTCAGTCATCTGCTAATGTTCCTCTGACATTGCACACTACTGGGGAGTGTCGGTCAAAATGCTTTGTTACTATAAAAAAAAAAGAATAAAATTCGAGTGAGTTCGTCTGAAATATGCAACATATGCCCCCTCGCCCAATGTTAGCCAAGTGCCTATACTATTTAGATAAAACAATGTTACAATGTTCTGATGATTCAAATTAATTAGGCTATATTCAAAAATATAATATTACATGATGATGTATACGGCCAAATTTCAAGACAAACAGAAGTGATAAAACTTGAAAAACCTGCTTGATTGGCTTGAAGATTGTTGCGCTGTTCCCTATTGCGCAATTCCTTGTCAAGTTTTCCTTGACGGCCGTACACACGAGCATTTTTCCTGGTTGAAAAGCTGGCATGACTAGCTTTTGAACAAGGATCCTTGTCAAGGAAAACTTGTCAATTTTTTCGCGTACACACGAACAAATAAAACTTAGCGAGGAAATTAAACTTGCCCGTCTGTACGGGGCTTAAGACTTGCACGAAAAAAGAACAGATCGAAATCTAAGACTCTCGCTTTAGCTCGGGTAATTAAACTTTGCTTTTGAGGTGTGTTAGGCAAATATATAATACCGGCAAGTTGTTCAAAATCACACGTCATCCTCGCCCTTTAATAACTCGTTCGCCACGCCCTTGTATATATTATGCTTTACACAAATATGTTGCAACAGCTTTTATGTCATCAAAAGGCTGTAAAAATTCCTCATTTCAAGGGTCATAGCAATATCGACGTGCATAGTGAGGTATTTCTTTCATTTCTTAGTTAGGGCGATATTTGCTGTGATTTAAGGTGCATACATGTAGAGGCGGAATTTTAGTCAGTTCAGTCAGTAACAATTTTATAAACTATAGCCTGCTGTGAAAATGCTTTGCATTTGAAAGAAAATGTTGATAACGTTTTGTTTTTACACGTATCAGTTGCATTTTTGATAATGTTTTGAATGGACGAACCGTGCTGGGAAGATTAAAAAAGCTGATACGTCACGTAGATCACAGGTTGCCAGGTGTCGTGTGGAGCAGCCTATTATTCTGTACTCTTCAGTAGTCGCCGGACAGACGGAAATATTTCTTTAACTAGTAGCTGTCGCAACTAGAAACCTATCGACTGAGACTAGATCCAATTAACCTCTTGAATTCCACGCAGAAAAAATCTCCGTTATGTTCTTTTATGTTATCAACTTATATACTTTGTTAATTAACAAGTGCATGGCATTCGCTATACAAAGCAATGCATTTATTTGGAATGTTCTCAACTTTACCCCCACTAGTTTTGCCCAAATATTTGCTATGAACTTAACTGGATAATTCTTGATTCATTTATTTTAATTAAGATTGTGGAGCTTTAACAATTCACGCCATTCAATCAACCTGTACATTTAATTAAGTCTATATAGACGAGCAGACGCTGAAGGCGAAACATATATTATCATGATTCAACATACAATAGTTTTTTTATGAGATGGTATAGAAATTTTTTATCGCGATTAGCCGGCAAAACTGCATGCCAACGTGCGGAACCTGTCATGTTATGTCGAGTGACAATACAACCGGGTTTTTTACACAATCATGATGCTGTAGCGAAGCCAGCCTTCAAATGCTAATATTTTAGACGGTGAAAACAATCAATTTTCTAAAAGAAAATAACAATGATAACGATTAGAATTTTCATTTTGCTGGCATTTTATGAGCGATCTTCTTTTTATTGATGTGAACGTAGAAACTAGTTACAAATGTTCAAATTAGAGCTCTTATTGGTCTTATTCATTAGAGCATTCGTAAATAACTACTCGTTCACAGCTATGCATCAAAGGAAGCCGTGAAAATCGCAGCAAACTGAATCGCAGACGCAAACAGGTCGTTTATATTCGTTGTCATTTTATTGATTTTAACAGCATTTCAAGATGTGAATGTGATGATATTTCTTGGCATTGGCTATCTGATCATATTCTTAAAACGATACGGCTACAGTTCTGTTGGTTATAATTTCTTCATTGGAGCTATCTCTGTCCAGTGGTATATCATTGTAGCAGGATGTTTACATCATCGTGGGGAAACAGGCTTTGATATTGACCTCAATCTTAAAAGGTGCGAGGTTCAAAAAGAATGGTTTCATATGATAGACCATCTATTATATATACATCATCGTAATTTTCAACCGCTATACCATGTAGTCTCTGGTCACAAAGTCGCAATGAATATAGATCAGTGGCTATGACTGATAATTAGCCATAGCTTTCTCACTGACACTCATCTCTATTTTTGAAATTGCAAGCGACTGGGGACGAGGCAGGCATTGCACAGATGTTTAGTCGTGCAAATATAATTTTGTTTTATGGTTATTGTCCTGTTGAATTCAGTCTTGAGAAGTTATGGCCCTCTCACATTGATCAACAGACTTCAGCTGCATGCGAAGTCGAAGAACTACTTTCAGCCTCAACTGACATTAATCCAAATTCAAATGCTAAATCAAACCCGAACCCAACTAATTCTACCTCAGTTGTTGCTGCAAAATATTGCATTACTCTCTCGTTCCACCTGCGACAAAAATGCTGGACACTTCCAACTTATTAAACATGTTCAATGCCTTCAATATTTTCTGTGATTTAGTTTAATTACAGCTGAGTTCGCTGCAGCAGTTGTTCTTATTTCTTTCGGTGTGTACATGGGCAAGGTGAATCGTGTACAATTGCTTGTAATCATGGTTATTGAAGTCGTTATGTTCGCAGTCAATGAATTCATTTTGTTGGAAGAACTGAAAGTTGCTGATGCCGGTGGAACGATGGTTGTGCATATCTTTGCGTGTTACTTTGGTATGGCTGTAACCTTCGTGATTAAAAGACCCGAAGACACTAATAATAATCCAAAAGAAGCTCCAATATATCATTCAGATTTATTTGCAATGATCGGTAAGGCATAGTTTACACGTCGTATTCCGGTCTCGTCGAATAATATCCGAATAATCCGATATCATAAAAGATGCGATGATAAGTTAAAGTTTGACATCGACAGTAATAATAGTTTGGTGTAAAGCGCATGAGTGTGGTAGGGTTGCCATTTTTTGGATTCAGATAAAGTAGCATGTGGCAATTTTGCGAGAACGGGCATGACCACCAAAATATAGTATGAATTAAAGTATCTCTTCGACTAAGGCCTGATCACAGGAGCTATAAGGGCCTGTTTACATGGAGCGAGTTATTCAGGCCAGGCGAGGTGAAAACCTTTGATGTGATGCGCTTTTTACCTCGCCGCCTAGCCGGGATAACTCGCTCTATGTAAAGCAGGCCCTAAGAATTGGGTCAATGCATGGCGACCATTGTATTATATTCCGACAGACAAATTTTGCGCACCAGTGGCCTCAGACATAGCCAACGTCGGTAACCGAGGTTACAAAAAATGCATCGTCAATAAAGCCCCTGCTACACGGGCGATTTCGGATTTTTGACGTTGATTTTCTTCTCTTGGTGTATGCTATTAAGTAAATTTAACAGAGTTGATTACTTTACTTCGCCCAGCTTATACAACTGCGTATATAATTCACACAATAACATACGCTACAAAGACAAAATCCCGAAAATGACCCGTGTAACCGCGGCTTAATTGAACTGCGATGATAAAAACAAAGTCTAACGGAAGATTCCAGGCCATGATTTTATTGGTTAGGTAACTGCCTAAAATTACAAGGGGTTTACAATTGCATGGATGGGGTTTTTAATCAACGTTTAAAGTGTTGGAATACTGAAATGTGTCTTCTTTTTGAAGGCTCTCTTTTCCTATGGTTATATTGGCCATCATTCAACAGTATCTTGGTTGTTCCTGGTAGGGACCAACAACGAGCTGTTTTAAACACCTTTCTCTCATTGACCGCTTGTACTGTAGCAGTATTTGCAACCTCTGCTTTCGTGAATAAAGAAAAAATACAGATGGTAAGACAAATCTTCAGTTCTCTATCATTTTTAACGTCTTGTTCATAATCTGCATACAACAAACCCTTTCGTTGACGTATTGCTCACCGAGTCACCGCGGTACTTAGAGTTACATCAAACATATGCAGAGAATATTGCACGCGGCTGTTTGGAGTTATGGAATTTGCTTGAAGAAGGAACTATTTATTTAGTCATGATGCAATATGTATACATACTTGCGACTTTAGCATGCATGGTATGATCTAATCGAACCTGCGGCACTGACGATGCAGGTTTTATAAATAACTAATGCCTCTCGTTTACACTATGCTCAACTTATTGACATTTGACACGGCATTGGTTGCCTCGGTCCCAATTTTATCTGTGTTCTATATTGATAGCCTGAACACGAATATAATTGGCTAAGGGTACCAATTTTAGCGCGTGCTCTATGCGTGCCAGTGAGGTGCATGTATAGATGAAAGCAGAGCTTGAGCTATGGATATACTGAGTTAAATGGAAAATTAATAACATGTCTGTTCATCACGGTGTCGCGAGTGGTCCTTGAAAAGCAATACTCAATTTAGATCAAAAGGACTGCCACCTTCTACTTCTTTCTTTTAGGCACATGCCCAAAATGCTGTTCTTGCTGGAGGTGTTGCTGTTGGTACAACAGCAAACATGTTGATTCAACCATGGGGAGCAATTCTGCTTGGAACTTTGGCTGGTATTATCAGTGTTTGTGGATTCTACTATGTTCAGGTAACTATATAGACGATAAACATTATCCGATCTCATCGTCAGCTCTGCCGCCTTGAAAATAATTTAGTCCAGGATTTTATCGCTGGGATGGTGTCAGCCGTCAGGATTGTATTTTGCATGTGTAATCTGTAGTTAAACCGATCATTAATTGTCTATGTATATTAATAATGTCAATGACTGCATAAATCGTTCTTCAAATAACTTTAGCTTGAACTAGTGTTGGTTTTTTCGCTAGGACAGGCCACGTAAACGAAAATGAGCACTTATTGTTGATACTTTATAGTGCCGGGTATTTTGCGATGATGACTATATGATGAACTATTTCAATATTTATGTAAAGCATATTTGACATTCCTTCAAAATAAATAGGAACTCACCTATCCTCTTAAAAAGATAAAGTTTTATTCAACTATGTCAATCGGCAATCGCCTAATAGATATATATATACATTAGTTATTACGATCACTTAACCCTCTTAAGCAAACAAAATAAAGGGAACAATATCGCATTTTTCATTAGATCTGAGTGAAAATCAAAGTGCTTCTTTCTTGTGATAAAATTCTGCAGCTAAATTGCCAAGGTTCTTGGGTTGGAAAGATTGCTTAGTTGCAACCGCGATGTATAACTGAAACTACATTGTAAAATAGATAGCTATAGGTGGAACCATTATGATCAAGAATTGAGCGATTATATACAAATATATGTTTATTTCATACAATCAAAACAAACGATTTTAATTTCAAAGCTCTTTGTCCTCCATTTTAAACGGTGGGAATTATTCTATTTAAATATCACGATTTACTGCGATGAAAGTAGATAATCCGTGCCACTCATCAAAGTTGACGTAGGGCAAAAAAAAATTGGCAGTTGGCGTAAGTATATTGGCTTTGAGAGGCTTGTGGTAATGGATATAAGATATGCTTCTTAGGATTGGAATTTTTGAGCTTAATCTTAGTTATAATTCTCCGCTCCTTCCCGCCCTCTTTTGATCTGACAGATTCTTTCATTACGTTTCTATAGCTGTGTAGCTATAGTGGTCTCTTAAAACTGACTGCACATTTCACACAACTGCAATAATAATTTCCCAAATTTGTTTAGCAAAATAATAACTTAAAGTTATCAAATTGCGAATCAATTTGTCTGTAGTTACAATATAAATTCCAAATCCCAAAATATGACATCTCCGTTGAATTTTCTCGTTACTTTTTCAACAGCCATATTTGAATGAAAAACTTAAACTTCATGACACATGTGGCGTGCACAACCTTCACGGAATGCCTGGATTGTTAGGAGCGATTGCAGGGGTAATTGCTGCAAAACTTGCTGATATCGATGATTACAAATTAAGGTAAATTATGCCGATGTCGACGATTACTGAGTGAAGATAAATTATGCTGCATGATGTCGATAATTGTAAATTAAGGTAAATTATACGATAATTGAATGTTTGTGTGTACTTAACATTACTTGTGTAATGTAACCAAATCAAGTTTGTGATTTACTTTAACTTCTGCCTGCAATTCTTGTCTACAATTCAATTATCTACACTTAAGAAAAACTAAATGATGGTCAAACCCAAAAACAAAAGCACATGCATCATATATGCATGGTAAATTAAAGCACAATAAACAGTGATCAACACAAAACATTTTATTCTTTGTATAGCCTGGTGCAAACATTTGCAGCTATGAAGGAGGGTCGTTCATCATCGAAACAAGCTGGTTATCAAACATTGGCTATCCTGATAACATTAGCAATTTCCATCGTGTCTGGTTTGATAACAGGTCAGATGCAATAAATACACGTCGGAATACATATTGTATAATGTTGTTTTACATGCCTTAAAGCATAGCATACGTGCCTTAAAGCGTCTGAATAGGCTTTCTTTCTCGGCAAAAATGTTCAAAACGTCAAATCCCATTTTTTTAAAAACGAATTCTCGTTTTCTGGCCTGCATCTGCCGGTTTGCATGGAAACTGTGGCGGGACTCTTGAATGATCGTTTGGAACTCTTATGAATAAATGTTAACAATTGCATGAGAGGAATGTCCTCAATCTTGTGTGTCTATATGTTTCCAGGTTTCGTGGTAACTGTTTGGTACGATAGAATCACCACATTCAAATCCAGTATAAAGTATCGCATCATATTTCCCGACTGCACGATGAAGTAGCACGCTCATATTAGGGTCTATAGAGTAGTACACCGGTCTGCTGTACGCTTCTTTGGCACAAGGACCCTCAATGAAATCCTCATCCACTAGGATTGTGTGTTTTGTTGTTGCAAGGTTTTTCACTGCCAGGGTTCTCAAGCCACTGAATTTACGGCTTTCATCATTCCAAGTGTTTGAAAGCTTGTTATCAGAATCAATATAACCAAGGAGCAGCGTGGCAGCGTCCTCAAACAACTTAGCATCAAATGTGGTATTACAACTGCCTAAAATAGACAAAACACTTCTCAATGCTCTTTGTCTATTTAGGCAGTTGTTATACCACATTTGATGTTATCAGAATCAGTTAGAGTGTTCCTAACTTCTTTGACTTCGTTACCAAAGTTGTATATACCAGGTGACCAGGTTTTCGTGAAAACGATGAAATCCAGGGCTTATCTAAACATCTGTGCATTTGCGAGATGTATCGGCTTTGGTTTTTATTACTGTTTACATGACCCAGGGTTAATGTTTTCATGACCCATGGACCATGGTTACAATTTATATGACCCATGGTTACTGTTTACATGACCCATGGTTACTGTTTACAAGACCCATGTTACACCTCTTTGCATTATTTCTTCTTCATACTTCTTCATTGATCTTACTATATACTCCACCTACTCACATGCTACTCCATTCTGTCGCGCCCGCTTCTCGTAACTTGTTTTACACTAAACTGATTTTATTTTAAACTTACCAGGTTTTATTGTGAGATTAAAGATATTTGATCCTCCAACGCCTGAGCAACTGTTCGATGATGAAGATTTCTGGGATGTAAGTGATCCAAATAATAATCTTTTACGTTGTCAGTTCCGCTTCAGATTACGGTGAACGGGAGGTGGGAAAGTGGAGAAGTGGGTTGAGGGGATAGGGTTGAGAAACTTTAGACATGGTAACCTGTGACTGATTATGGTTTAATGGTATAGTGCTGATTTATTAGGATAAAAAAAACTAAAGCATATTAAATTAATATCAAGTTCAAAGAAACCCCATTTAGGCCGCGCACGAAATGTTTTTCGACGTTTTCTGTACTTTCAAATTAATAAAGGGCCTGATGACTTGGTAGAAACAAAAATTTCTATATCACAAGTAAATAGGAGTTGAATTTTTAAATTAATTTCATTTCATTTAATTTCTTCTCTCCATTTTTTCACCATTTTTTCACCATATTTTTGCCGGCTACCTAGGACACAATTGGAGCTATAACTTCGGTTCATTTCTATGCATGCGAGTGTTCCTAACTCCAATGTAAAAAATAAGGTATAGTCTAATAAATTTCCCCAAAGAATACCATTCTTTGAAACAATTCAAAGACATATTGAGTCTTGAGAAGGTCTGTTTGAGCAATGAATATCCACTTGGTGATATGCCTATGCACAAATGTTTTTTCGACATTTTTTCCACTTATATATAGGCTTATAACTTTAGTGCACTTAAATGTTGGCTGTAAAGTACATTTAATCTTTGGCGAAAGTCCAACATATTTTAGGAAAGAAGCCTTCTCTGTGGTAAAATATGTAGGGTGTTATTGCAAATAAATTAGCGGAAAACGGTATGATTCCAATTAGGTATTGTTTTATAATTAAAAACACGATTTTCTTTCACTTTCCGCCATATATAATAAATTACCACTGGCGGAGACCGGCTGGCGGCCGAATAAATTACACTTGGCCACTGTTGCAGTAGATACACTATTATTAATTAACACTAGGCCACTGTAGCAATAGATACACTATTAACACTAGGCCACTGTAGCAATAGATACACTATTAACACTAGGCCACTGTAGCAATAGATACACTATTAACACTAGGCCACTGTAGCAATAGATACACTATTAACACTAGGCCACTGTAGCAATAGACGTACACACTACACAGTGTAGCAATAGATACACTACGAACACTAGGCGGATGTTTCAGTTTCATTTCTTCGCTTTTTTGATAAACCTACTGCGTGGACTTCCAAGAATATTCCCTTCCTGACCTACAATAACGCAGGTTAATTGTCAGACAAGACCGCAAGGCTCACGTGAAAGCCGTGCATGCATTTTAAAAAAACATAAAAGGTTATGATTTTTATCTCTTGTTTTAGTTGCCTGACATGAGCATAGAGTCCAAAAACACGGAAAAAGCAGATCCAAATGAAATCGCTCTTCAACCGATTGCATAAACTTTCTCACCTGAGATTTCAAACTTTGGCATAATATATATAGTGCACCTATATAGGCATCTCATCGCTCATTTGTATTAATGTATTTTTGTAGTTTTATCCAACCAGTCAACCACTTAAGTATATGAACAAAATGTAGTCAAATTTCTGATGGCGTGTCTACAGGTTGTTGTTTTCAATTAACGTAAAGCATTTTTTTATATCAATTCTATTTCCAGTAATTTTTCTCCTGCATGGGTGGTGAATATTTTTTCTTAGCAGTTTTGCAACTGCAATACCTATATAGATTGTATTGTTGTAGTTAATTAATTGTGCATACTTGACTCTGTGTAGTATTCGTGATTTGTATTGTGGGCGACACTTATGGTGGGCGACACTCTCGAAGTTATTGCGAGGAAGTGAAAGCGAGGCCTTACTTCTGTACAGAATGCGCAAATTACCGTTTATATAAGAATATAATAATTTTTCCGTTATGAATATAACTAGTAAACATTACAATACCTTAAAATTAATATAATAATCTAGTTATACTAATCTTTAATCTTATTTTACCTAAATGGATTACATTTTATCCTTTGGTATTTGCTGGTTAGCATCGACGTAGCGTGCGGCGGGTCAAACGAATCAATCCAATTTTCTGGTAGTGAAAGTTGTAAGACTGTAGTCGGAAATATTGAGTTTGGATTGATGTAAAAAGGACCGTTTCCAATAATCAATTGTCTTTATGAACCCGTTTCGTAATATGACCTCACTAAAAAAATGCAAGATTGGCAATAACAAGAAATTTGGCATGAAGTGAAGGCTTCACCCCCGCTCCCACCATCTTGTCTGTTAGAATTGAAACAAACTTATATCTATAAACCTTCGTGGACCCCAACCTAGGAATGAATTGACTGTAGCGAGACAGCCGTTGTAACACGAACTTTCAACACGGCATACAAGTATGATCGTAGATTGCTCTTGAACTGAACCGTTTGTTCTTGGTATTTTGCCTCTGGCTAAATGCCAAACTATACTGAATATAATTAGTAAAGCAGAACCTGACACTTATTTTTTCAATTTTCAGACGACTGATCTAATTCGATATTGCATAATTTTCAGCATGATAAACATGGTATAAATACTGAAATATGAAGATTTACCATATCGTGTCGTATTCTTTGAGAAGAATATGATAAGAATTAATTGAAAGAAGTCTCCAACACAAATTTCGCTCACGTGTTGTGCATACCGTGATTTCATTGATGCTCTCAGATAACATATGATGCGGGCGTGAATGTCTTGTAGCCAATCAGAGAGCAACACAAAAAGCCCCCTAAAACGCACAAAAAAAACAATCCTTCCGTAATATGTGTGGTGCCTACATGTTGATAACTTCTGAGATAAGAGTTTTAGGCTGTTGACTACACTCTTATTGCGCGACACGCATCAAGAAGATGAAGTTTTCTGTTGTAGCGGTGGTGTTCCAGATTGTCCTGATAATCTTGTTTGCGACACTAGTGAAGTATGATCCTGAACAATCTGGTGCTCTTCGTAAGAACGAACAAGGATCCCATATTTCGGTGTATCCAAGTAGGTGGCGATTAAATTTTGCGTCCTTGTCTACTCTCTTTAGGTCTTTTAGGGCGACTTTAGTTAGCGCACCTAAATAGCATCATATGCAGTTAACTTTCTATTTTGAATAATAGCGATCCTATAATGTCATGGGTTTACACAGTATGCAACCACACCTGGTGAATGTTAGCGCGCATTTACACTGTGAGCTTTATTTGAAATTTGACGGCTTTTGCAGCTCCTACCCCCAAGGCCCCAACTAAACTCTCAAATTTAGCTATGTGATAAAGTTTTTGTTCTCTACAGCAGAATAAGTATAATTCATTCCAACGTCGACATGGCGTATAAACACAGTTGTACAAAAAAAATTTTATAAACCCCTACGTTAAACACACAATTGCGTGTGATATTTTGCTCCACATAGACAAAATATCTTAAGAGATAGAATAAAAGGATGAGAGTGACGGTGACAGATGTCAATAAGATGCATTCTCGAGATTGTGGCTTAGCAAATTCACATCACCTGCGGTATCTGTGACCCGACGACCACCAATGACTATATTGTTTATGTGTGAGCAAATTACGCTTTGCAGCATATGAGGGTTTGTAAGAGACTGGGCGAGAGTGATTTTATATTGGCTGTCAGAGATTGGTAGAATGACCAGAATCAATCTTTGACATGGAGAAATTTATGCACACGCATATTAATTAATATGTTTCAAGGACCGAGACGGTATACAAGGAACAAGACTTTAGAACCCTAAATAGCGAGAGATCGATAACTATCGATAGAGATAAAAAGTAATAGTCCTAAAATTTTTAAAATATTTTTGGAAAAAATTTAATAACTATATGCAAAGATTCTGGAGACACCACGGGGCCAAATTGTAAAGAACATTGATTTTGAATATTCTGTTGTTAGCTCAGTTGTTAGATCAATACCAAGTGCAATACATGAATTCATACTTTATATTGCGCTATACTAATTATGTTGCACTTAACTAACAGACTTATATCTATGTTTCTGAGATTTGTGCAACACAATTCCGTATTGATAACATTTATTTTTACCTCTCCATGCATGCATGCATGGGGTCTGACTATCAGAAATGATATGATGAAGAACAATAGCCTCACTTCTTTGTCTCGAGAAGCAGTTTATCAAGAAAGACGAATTGTTAAAAGGTTTTATTTAGAATAAGAGTTAATATTTTTTCATCCATCTCGCTATATATATACGACTTTCGTTACTATAGGTTATTATTATTAATTAGATAATATTGGATTGTACAACCAGCGTGGTATGTTCTCTACAATTGTTATATATAAACTTAAAACAATCACACAAACTTTGAAAGTAAATCAATCGTTCATGCATGAAATATACTTTTCCAGACGTTTTTGTTATCTTACTTGTTCAGAAATTAGCACTTAGTCTTAGCTACTTTGATCTACATTATTAATTCAACTCTAAAACCTGATGGCTGATATATTTTGTCTGAAATATTGGTTGCACGGTTTGATGATTATAAGTATAACGTTACAAAAATAACATTGATTAAAAACACTGTTATTGCAGACTAAGGCAAAACGCAATCAGTTAATTTTTATGATGCATCTGCAATACAAAAGTGAAGAGAGAGTGCATTAAAAGTGAGAGTGAGTTTCTAAACATTAAAACATACAAGATACAAGTTTATTCACTTGACAACCAATGATATTATATATAGCGGCAATTATTCCATGCAGTGTCTAGGTATAAACGTTTAATCCTTATACATGTGTAGTTGCTATAAAAAGATTAATTAAAATGCTTCAACAAGCAACACATATAATTGATATAAAGAGATTGTAAGGTAAATATGCATAATCCGGTACCTGGCACTGTTGGGTTCCTGGTAGATGGAATTTCATAATTGTTCAAGAGGAATGTAAACTAGTGCCAGAAAATCTCTTTGGCGTTCAAGAGTAATTATATTATTCTGTGTTTGTGGGAAAGGTTGCGTTTTTTACGAGGAATATTTATATAATGTGGAGGTGAACATTTGCGGACTTATATACTGAAACTCGTCTTTACTAAGAGTTGCGAAGGTGTGGTATTTTTATAATCATCGTACGATCTTTCTTTAACGATGAAGCTGTTTATATCAACCATAGCTTTACTTTGAGCGTCATCGAATATTTGATTGTACGTCAGACTCCAGCTGTTGATTGACGTTCAGACATATTCACCCTTTGTATTAACGAAGAAAAAAATTATACGTTTGCGTTGAAACTTGAAACAAACCATCGTAAGCTGGGCTATAAATAAAGATTCAATACATATACAAGCTAATTGATAACAATTCTGCATACCTCATGTGATGTTATCTTTTCTAATTTTTTGTCCTTTTTCAATGACTGTGTTTAGCGCGCGGTTTGACGTAGCTATTTTTAAATCTTTCGCAAATCACTCAGGGCGTTTTGTATCCACGGAAAGACGTCACCTGGTCACATGATTTCAGAGCTAAAGTACAATTAACAATACATTTTTTTTCTTATATTTTTCTTTTATTTTGAAGAACTTAAAAATCGTCTCATGCCAAGTTGCTCTGAGTGAAAAAAGACTTGTAAGAATCTTCAATTACTATAGTTACCCATACCAGATACACCCATGCAATGGTGGAGAATTGACGACTTTTGTAAAAACGATAACAAACTAGGTAACCTAACTAACTAACTAGATAAACTAACTAACTAATTTCGATTGACCAATCTAATTTACTAAGTATATAAAGTTTTACTTCGATCGGTTTTTTACACCATGGTCCTAATAAGTGATAAATTACTGACTGAAAACGGTTAACGGTAAACACATTACTGCAAATATAAAAGTGTCCGGCATCACTGACTTCTTCCTGAAACAGGGTGTTCTAACTTGTTTGCCCTACCCATAATTACATCTCATTATAACTCGACAAGACTATAAATAACAATGCTTTTACATCATATTGTACAAAAGACAGCCATGCAGTCAGCACAAAACTTATAATATTGATTGATTGAGTCGTTGTCTCGGTAATTAAACATTCCATGTACATCTTATATTTCTAAAAGAATTTATTAACCTTCGTAGTCGTATTTTAAATATTCTCTTCAGTGAATGGGTATATTAACAAAATTGTTCTGTCAGTAATCATATAAAACGTCTCCAGTTATGGGATGCACCCGTGTCAAAGTTGGAACAAAACAGCTAGGATGAAACGGAATCTTGCACAGCAACAATGTTGTGATGAGAGATCAGTGTTTCCTAGAACAATGCAACTCTGATGCACGATAAAATCGTCGACCACGTGTGTGGGGGAAATCGGGGAATCATTAGTTTGTCTTCAGGTGTTATGAGTCGCATAATGTGTATATAACCCCTTCAGAGACTCCTATCAAGACTGACAAAATATATTCAGAATAGATCGAACAGCAAATCAATATATTTATCGCATATTAGGGTGGCAAGAGTTTTTACATAGAATGCAAGGAATGGTATGATAATCAAATTGAATGACTAATTTTCTTGCCGTAGTATTTTTAGAAGCGATTTTTTACATGGGTTAATAACACTAAACAATGAAAGGTCAAGCAATTGACGTTACGTGTGGAATGACAAAAATATAATCAGCCAATATATTTATTGCTCACAGTTCAATTAACCATGCACCACTATTGATATCAATAGCGAGGTTCAGATTTGACTACCACTACGACTACCACAACCTTTGAGGGAATATCAACCAATCAAATGCGATAAGTCTATCAGACTAACCAATCACGAGCTTAATAGATTAGCGAGAGGTAGCGGTAGTGGTAGTGGAAGCCAAATCTGAACCTCGCTAATAAGAGCGGAATGACCGATGAAAAGCATAATCGTATCTTACATACATATACATATACAGACTGTATTCAATTTCATAACCACTGGAAATGGTCAAATTTATATTCTGCAATTTGTAATTCCTAAATTTTGAAACAATCGTAGGATATCCAGAGGGCAGGATGTGATTATGTGATTATGTGATTATGTGATTAAAGTTTTACTTATATTTTGTTTGTCCTTCCTTTTCTTTATTTTACATTAAGCTTTATATATAAATTCTCTTTAGTTTTCCAAGATGTTCATGTGATGATTTTTGTCGGCTTTGGATTTCTCATGACATTCCTAAAGAAATATGGTTATGGAGCTGTTGGATACAACTTTTTTATTTCCGCCTTGGCTATTCAGTGGTACATTATAATTTATGGATGCATTGAAAATCGTGGAAAAACTGGATTTGATATTGTACTTAACATTCATAGGTATATCTACACGTTTGAACGATTTGCTGTGTTTGGGATTTATCCACATTGATCACGATATGTATATATATAGTTCTTTTTACCATGTGTTGGGCAAATTTGTGTTACGCATGATATTGAGAGGGGAAAATTATGCGGAGCCTTAACTGACATACATGTATGCTAGCACAATCAAGAAAACCCAAACCCTTGCACCCTCTTTATCATAAAAAGATTTTCTAGTATTTTTGTGAATGTAAAGCCCTCCGCAAACGAGAGCTATCAGCTGAGCTAACGATCTCATGACGGGGCAGTAATTAGCTCAGCCCGAAAACTATCCGCACAAGTTAGAAACTTGCCGAGCTAACAGCCTCGGCTCGCGAGGTCTTTAGCTTAACTAATAGCTCTCGTCGTGCATGTGCGGCGGGATTAAAGTTGATGAAGATGTTCCATTGTTTCTGTAGCTTGATCACTGCAGATTTTTCTGCCGCCGCTGTTCTTATAACATTTGGTGCTGTTTTGGGCAAAGTCAGCCGCCTTCAACTATTGATTATTGCCTTTATTGAAATCATCATGTTTTCTGTGAATGAATTTATCTTATTGAAAGAATTGAAGGTCGCTGACGCTGGTGGGTCTATGGTTATTCATTGTTTTGGTGCATACTTTGGGTTGGCAGTAAGCTTCATGATAAGAAGACCTGAAGACACTGATAACAACCCGAAAGAAGGCTCAGTCTATCATTCAGATATCTTTTCAATGATTGGTGAGTTGTTAGAGGCATGAATTAGTTAAAGAAGGCAAATCTTCAAAATGGTATATGATAAAGTAACTCAAATGAGCAATGGGGGGAATACCTTAAACTGTTTGAAAAATTATTTGACCCGCCACCCTGACAACGATTAACCAAGTAGCCTTGATTTCCACTTAAGCAGGAAAATGGTTCTCTATAGCGAGATATTTGCATATTTTCTTTTGAAATGAGATTATTCTGTCAAAACTCATAACTCGGAAAATTTGCAAATATTTCGCTTGCAAATGAACTTTATCTGCAAGTGGAAATCACCCTTAATTTGAGAAGCCAAGCCAGCCATATTTTGCTACGACAATTACAACACTTCAACACTACGCTGAACGTATTTTACGTATATAAATTGTTTGTGGTCCTTTTCAAAGTATGAAAAAAGAAGCACAAGCATAGCTAATTGTATTGATATCGCATTTTATTCATGAAGGAACGATCTTCTTGTGGATGTACTGGCCAAGTTTTAACAGCGCATTGGTGGAGCATCCGGCTGATCAACAGAGAGCTATTGTTAACTCATATCTCTCACTTGTTGCTGCATGTGTTACAACATTTGCAGTCTCTGGACTCCTTCACAAAGACAGAAAACTTGACATGGTATGTCCCATAGGCTTTATTAAGATGTAGAGCATTTCTTTGATGCATGCCCAGTCATAAAACATTATTGTCGCGTCATTTGATCATGGTAACATGCATAAGTACCTGATTTCTGAGAAACAGGTGAAACCACAGTGAAACATATAAAGCAAAACTTCGCAACTTTATTTAAGCTTCATAACGAAATCATATCCTTCCCCTTCCATTCCAAATTCAGAGAGAATGTTTGCCAATACAGTCATTATGATCGTCAGATTTCCAACAGGAGTCAAAGTTTTAAATCCACAAGAAATGTTTGTAACTTCTGAATATAATTCAAAAGCAGACCTGCTTCATGTTGCGTTTTTTTTTGTCACCACAGGTACATGTACAGAATGCAACATTGGCTGGTGGTGTTGCAGTGGGTACACTGGCTAATATGGTTATTGAACCATGGGGGGCACTTCTCATTGGTTTTCTTGCCGGGATTATCAGCGTTGTTGGATATAAATATGTTACGGTATGCAGTAATCCATATCTGTATTTTATTTGAATTTATATGTCTATTTTAAGTTTTGAGACTCTCGTGATTCCTGATCTTGGACCTTTCCTATTAGCAGAGGTGGACTTAGGGACGGACTGGGCTGATAGTGACTCGGGCGTAAACTGAAGCTCGGCGGTCTTTGGGGACCCGGAATATTTTCTAAACTGAGCCTCTTGCTTTTCTAATAAACATTAAAAAACTGGTGATTGAATGCGTGTGAATTCAGAAATCAGAATTTACATTGTTTAAGGACGTTCATGATTTTAGTTCATTGTTTGTGTTAGTGTATTCTATTGCATTCTATTGCAAATTTGTAATCGTACTTTAATTTTATGTTAGGCTATGAGCAACAAAAATGATATTTTTAAAATAACACAATAATTATGCACACACGTACAAATGTAGTAACGTAGAGACTGGTATATAGAGACGTACATGTTGCCTGGCATGAACCCGGATTTCTCTCCAAGCCGAATGCCGCTTTAATATTATTTAGCCTTTCCTGGACGAGAAACTTCGCATCCATGACACATGCGGAGTGCACAATCTTCATGGAATGCCTGCCTTATTGGCTGGAGTCGCTGGAGCTGTGGCGGCAAAACTCGCTGATGCTGAAGACTATCACAATAGGTAAGGAAATATGTAATGTTTATTTTTTTGGTCGTACGCTTGAAAAAACAGTAGATTATCAGTTAGGAAAGTTGAGACCGCGTGAAAAGAACAACGCCTGAGACAGGCCTTAGGCTTTTATTTGATATATATTTTTTCGTTTTTAAAAAAGAAAATATATTTCTTACGCCGCCGTATACTAAGATAGGTTTTAGCATTCCATTTCGCGCAGTGTTCATTCGTTGAGATACAACTAAAATAGGATTGAACGAAACCCTTCTATGTCAAATCCGTTCTACAGACAGAGACGGAGTGCGTGTATTGCCTACTTCAGGATATATATTACTTTATTTTAGTTTGGGAAACGTGTTTAACAGTTCCTATTCCTCTACAAAACGAGCTGGATATCAAATCTCTGCCCTGTTGATCACTCTTGGGATATCAATAGTTTCTGGCCTAATAACTGGTATACAAATATTAAAATTAATATCAATAATAATACTCTCCAATTTTTTTTTATTTGTCCAGGTCCAAAACTAACGTAATTCTTGACTAAAATTGTTTCACGTCGAAATCGTTCACGTGTCTAAGCATAATTTTTTCTTTTCCTGTCGTTGTGATTGTTCTAGGTATTATCGTTGTTAAAGTTATGCAACTTTTCTATTCAATACAAAGGATTATGGCTGCTTGCATGTACAGCGTGACAAAATTTCAATCGAGAGTACTTTTTTGGGACACACGATATAAGTTTAATTCACTTAATGCAACTCATTGTAATTGTATCAAGATTATTAATAAAAACCTGGGGGTTAAAACAATCGATTCACCAATCTAAGCTTCACCCATAGTCATAGAGCGCACCAGTTCATAAGATGAGAAAAACATGCACTATTCTTTTTCAGGCTTTATAGTGAATTTTGAAGTGTTTGATCGCCCAACACGTGAACAATTGTATGATGATGCAGATTTCTGGGAGGTTAGTGGTGAAAATTCTCAATAGCCAATATATTCCCACAAAATTGTCATAAGTGGAGGTAAATGTAATTGATAATGTGGAGATGTTTCCTATCCGAATAAAGGTCAAGATCTGTTACGGTTTCAGTTCATTCCTTCAGTGGTATAAATCATCCTTGCATGTGTATGCTTTGCAACAATATTTATAGAAGTACTTATTTGCAAAGAATTTATTTCGCAGAATTACAAATTTTAATCAGTTTTTTTCATCATTTTCCTGCCTCATCCCAGTCCAAGCGCTATTTTAGTTTTGAATTGTTTTTGTTTCTTTCTGCACAGCTTCCAGAAATATGTGTTAATGAGAATCCAACGAATGACATACCTCTTCAACCAACTGTCAAAACAGAAGTACAATCTTCTTAAAATTGACCGTTATTCATTTCTGCACATCAGTTACATGTATCTTCCTATAAACGTTGTGGTATTTTTATGATTTCACTGATATACTATACTATACTATACTATACTGTATACTACTGTATACTACTATACTCTACTATACTTAATATTCAGTGCTCACTTATTGTAATAATTATGTTACTTTAATAATATTTAATGTCAACATATTTTATCGGTGACCCAAGTAGTCATAGGGTCTTTCTCGTTGGAGCATATCTCTATGGGAAAACAAGAAAATAATATTCCTGAGAAATTTGGAGATTAGTCTAAGGTTTTAATACAGTTCTTGCACAAAAGTTTGTAAATATTTTTTCGTATAATTCGTCTTGTTTAAACCATAACATCGTTCGTGCCCCGTGGACGGAGTTTCTCAATCAAAACCGGTTCTGTATTATGTGACTATGCGTGCTTGCAAAGGTTCAACATCATTTTGCCGCTTTGTTGTAACTCTTCCTCAACCCCTGCCTGATTGCTAACGTCTCAGAATATTGTAATGCATGTTAAGGCTATGGGCTGAAGTTAGAGGTTTTCAAAAACTCTCCCTATTACCCTAAGAGATGATCGACACTCCTTATAGTCATAATCGTGGACACGTGAAGTCTTCATAACGTGAAAAAGACAGTTACGCCAAATATACTAACTATAGCACAAAGAAGGAGTGTTGAAAGAAATTGGCATGGTCGTTGAGGAAAACGGGCGTGATTTGGGCGTGGTCCGAACATAACGCTTTTAAATCATAACTCTCCAGGTTGCAAAACCCAAGTTTAGCCTTAATCGAGGTCTTGTCTGATATAAAGAATATGCCACCATTTTCTGTTCCATTCAGGTTCCTGACAAAGTTGAATCAGTTGTCTATGAGTTGGCAAATGTAAAGGAGTCAGCCGACACCCCACCGGTGGTCGTCAAAATTGACAAAAAGAGTTCGGATGGGGACGAGTCTTGAAATTTCATCATACTAATTTCTTGTCTTTTTTTTTACTTGTTGTAAATGTACGTCTGCATCATCCTTACATACTCATTTTTCAATGGCGTGGAAAGATATGCTATAGAGTATAGACTAACTAGTAAGACAACTGAAGTTCCGTTTGATTGTAAAACTAGAGGGAGGAACATCTTCCCATACGAAAATTGCTCTTTTAGCGCAATTATATTTTCTTGTTATAAACTCTAAAACCTGGGCTTTATGCAAAATCTCCATTCCCCTTCCTGCTTCCTACGCCACTGGCTGAACTACAATATTTTCATGCCAATTTACTAATTTTTTAGAGGATTACATATATAATGTAATGTCAGTACTTGGATAAAATAAAAATAAATTCGTTAAATAGCCGTAACTTGCACAGTATGAAAAAAACTTGTTTTTTGTCTTTGCTGGTCATATAACTCATATTAGGTCACGTTATGAAGTATCTCCGTATGTTGCGGGCTCGTTTAGAATAAAGACCAGAGGCAGTGAACGAAAACAATGTATGGTGATTTTATTTACTGTAACCAGTGATATGAAAACACGATAAAATAGCAATCAAGTCGAAATGAATAAGAAAGTGATTAGACGAACACCAATAATAGCGTTTTACTTCTTCATATACCTTTTAACTGGAGCAAAGGAATCGTTGTAAGAGCTTGCAAGTGTCGGTTTAATGTTCTGGAGTTACATGCAGAAATGGCTTCATCCGCCGAAGACCTCGACAGTTGCACTGTAAAGGTTGGTAAATATATAAAATTACATTGTTCATTGAAACTTTAAGAGATTAGACTTTGAGATAAAAAGCTTTAAGATAAAAAATTATTGTGCATTAGGCATTCATAAGTACCTTATTGATTTTTTCACAATTTTGTACAATACTTATCTTGATATACCGCAATTTATTGCTGTCTACCATAGCATTATTAATTCAATGATAAACATCGATGGTGCATGCTTATTTTTAGGCTTCCTACATTTATTGTATAGTTTTTGTTCAAAATGAACTATAACATTTATCTTGAAATTCGCAGCCTGATGCAAGTCAGATCTATTTGCTGACTGGTAAGAACTACAGAATATCAAGAAGTATAAAGGTTTCCTGGTTTCTGGATAACTTTAATAAAGTTATTACTGCAAATTCTGATGATGTTATTGTAAGTTATGTAGTATGTGTTATCTTTGTTAAGAATGTTTGTTGAGTCAAGTTAGTTTTATTTAACCTATAATTTTTCAACCTTTTTTAGAAATCATCCAGTGAGGAGCTTAAAGTGTTATCAGTCCTTTCAAAACCGACTTCAGAACATTCTGAGACATGTGTTGTTGTTCCATCAACACTCATTACATTTCTTGCACGTATTTATAAGTTTGTTTTTTGTTTGGATGCGAGCCAGTCATTGGCAAGTGTGGTAAGTTAACATGAAGCATCAGCTTTGTGCAATCAACTAATTGGTAAATTTTGCTTGTGTTCAAATCATTAGGGTCATAGTCATAATTTTTTAAATGTTTTTTAGGATATTCTGTCAGGGAAAATTGTGAATGAATTATCATTTGAAAGTTTTCAAAATTGCATGCGTGGACTTGTTTTACCGGTTAGTGTCTTGCTAGATTCAGAGAATTTTGAAGTTTTGGGTTCATTAAGCCACATGTGTGATGTAAATTTATATTATATAGTGTTTAGCTGTAATATCATATAAGTACCATGTGCATATTAATTCTAATTACTTGCAAAGGTCACACATACCATTTTGTCTTCAGTTTACAGTTCCAGGTTGTAGTGCGCTATTGCCCCTAGAACTTCATGTCACTGTCTTGGGATACAATGGCATTCTGGATTGTGGCACTGTTCAGGTATTAAGTCAACATCCACATTGTAAAGTAGCATGCAGAAGTTATGAGATGTGGTATAAACAACCAACTATGTATCGAAACTGTATCTTTATATATTATACATATTCAGATGCAATTGATTGTAAGAATGGTGGTATTCACAAAATCAGTCCATTAGTAAAATTCTTTTAAATCAAGGTGACATACTATGATTTCTAGGTCTTGGTTGAAGGATGTTTAGTGACCCAAGACAATGTTGAATCATTTTTGTCATCTGTATATGAACAACTGCAACAAATGGAAAACAAGAATGCCAGTGTGTTGCAGGCCATCAATAACAAGGTACATGTTTTCAGGGAATTCAGCTAAGGATTTGACCTAATGACCTGGTTACAACCTACAACATATATACACTTTAAGACATGTTACCCATGACCATTGAGGTTAGCTATCTCCACAACCATGCATGCGAGCTAAAGTTTTTATTGGTAAGCCTATGTATTGACACTTTCTTTATTCTTTTCAGAAGTCTGATGGTAAACAGACACATTATCATGTGACATCAGAACTATCAATTGTTTCAATGTTAAGAATGTCCATTTTGGCTTTAGAACTTCTTCCTAGTACTGCTAGTGGAGGTACACTACACCAGTTGTTACATGCATGTGGTATTTCGTCCAAACATTTTTTGCACTATTTGGCTTCAACACATGATTTTTACATAGGTATTGTTGTCATCAGTGATGGAGTTTTTGGACTGCCAAATGCTGCTGTAGTTCATAAATTGCTTGCTGAATTAAGGTGTTATACAGTGTGCTGTTCATTTGTTAAAGTTGGCAGTCCTTCTCAAGCGCATTGCAGGTATAATGACATTGCATTACATTATGCTACATGAAAGAATTGGGCAAGAATGTTGTTATCCTCATAGAAACAGAAATTGAAACTGCAAGTAGATTTCTATTCATTCTCTTCATCAAAGCCTCTGTTTTCCTTTTTTTATAAAGCTTTGGTTACATTCCTAACATTGACCTTATGAAGTTTCTTGCCAATGCTACGTCAGGAGCATTCTTTTCTAACGCACCACCTGTAAGTACTTCATGTAAGAATTGCAACAAATCAGTCTTAATTAAGGCACATGCAACCCACTTTTTTGTGGTGTTTATAGGTTAATGAGCTAGAATGTGGAAGTGAAAGTGGAGTCAATAATGGTAAGAAATAATCTGCTTTAAAATTCAAATGTACCTTATGCTTCAATTAGACTACATTCTGTGAATCAATGATCATGACTCTAGCTTAGCTACTGGGTTTGATTCCTCCCACAGTTTGACATCTTCACCCATAGTTTGGCTCCTACCAAACAAAACAAAACAAAACAAAACAACCACAACTATTATCAATGTTGTTCTTATTATGTTCGAATAAATATACACACATATAATCATTACCTACTGATATATGCTCATTTTGTAGATGTTCCTCAAATGAATTTTTACCATAAATCTTTCTTATGTTGGAGTTTTCAATGGGAATATGATTTAAGCAAAATCAATTCATGGGAAGGTATTTTACTTTAATGATACTTTTTTACTGAATATATAAAGCTGTTTTTTAAAGTATATGTATGATGTTTTTTGAATAGATGAGCAACGTTTAACAGCTGATGTGCCTGATGAAAGGTTCGTGCAACAGGATCCAATAAATCATGTAAAATTGTTGTGAAAAGAATAAAGTACATGTATAACAAAACTTTTAGTTTGTTTACTTCAGTTTCCATTGTACTATACAGGTGTAAAATCCTGTCTTCACATCAGTGGGACAAAGCACTGACTGAACAACTTATAAGAAAGGAACTTTCAGGAAAAACGTTGAGAACAGCCATATCAAAGTGAGTCGAACCTTCAAGGAATATTAATCCGTTGAGTTTTCCAAAGCAATAACCCTAACCATACCAACTTTCCACCACTTTCCAACATATTTTATAATTCTAATCTCCCTAATTTACTGTATTTTCACCGTTTTATCTTGCGCTAGTGTGCTATCAATACGTCTTCGTGAGGGATATTGTGTCAAAGATATCGCATTCGTCGAAGGTAAAATTCCTTCGCTGCGTCCCTTTTAATCTTGTTTCAGTTTTGATGAAACGAATTAACTCCAGTCTAGAACAATATACACTACTGTGGCCATATATAACATATTAGGCTATTGTTGACGAGTTTGCGGCCTATGTACATATATTTTCTATTCTGGTAGCTATATCATTCTTAAAAACTGAGGGTCAACCACAAGCATATGATACGAGTATTTTTTTGTGTTGCCAGGAGGAAAAGAGTTAGTTGTGAAGCTGTTGTTGTTAGTGAAACAAAATGCTTATATTGAATACACAGCTACTGCTGTAAGTGTGAATTGAGTATTATTTAGAAAAAAGACTTCGGTCGAAAATCCATGTAGCGTGTGTACGGTCATCCACTATAAGGCCTGTTGTTTTCCACTTCAGTCGTATCGTAACGTAACGTAGCGTATTTCTTTGTTTCCGAAGTATTCGACCAGAATTAATTACTTTAAAACAATGAGATACGCTACGTTTCGCTACGATACAGTTGAAGTGGAAAACGACCGTAATTGTTGCTGAAGGACTGTACTCTAAGATAGTGTAACCATCACCCTACATACGTCTTAATGAGAATTACGATGATTTCAAGGTTCAGGTATTCTCATTTATCTTTGTAGAGCTGGCCGGTACCATTATCAAAGTAAGTAACTTTCGTAACATAGTCATATCATGTAAGCCACTGCCTAAAAGTATTAAATACCATTTACAGGCTAACTCTTATATGAAAATAGTCTTCTGAAACGGTTTCAAACCGTTGAATCCAAATCAACGTAAAAAATAACGTGTAAATATATAATAGGACGTGTAAAAGAGTTTGTTTTCCTCTAGTGCCCAAACAAAGATCAAAATTGACGTCCTAGGAACGTATGGATTTCTTTGCGATGTTTTCCCGAAGCAAATTTATTCTATGAAACCTTACACTGTAAGGTTAAGTTACAGGTACCTTAATTTATACGCATCTATGGCGAGCAGACAATTTCAAAAATACAAAATACAGCAAATTCCCAGCACATTAAGATGTCTATTTTCGGAATCCGTTTTAATTTGTATAGATATCTGGATTGAGGGTACATTGTTGCATTTATTATATCGATTTCATAATAAATTCATATTGCATGTGTTTATCTTTGTCGTTGTTTGTTGGTGTTTCATTTAATCTCACCTTGATTAGCGCTTGATTAGAGCCTGTTTAAATGATCTCCCAAAACATGAGGTTTACATAGACAAAATCAACTTGACAACAAATACCAGGATCCCGCCTGGGGCCTGGAGCTAGGCGAGATCATTTAGACACGTAGTAGCTAGAGTTTGAATATCAAGCAGAATATCCTATTGCTATTGTCTTGGCTTATCATATTAACCGATCTTCAGTCTGTTGTAGAATGTTATAATACCTACGTTAATAGCAAAATATTTTCTCATTACATATTTTACAGGGCTAATGTTGTGGAAACCTTTAAAGGCACTTTAAAAAAGTAAATGTATACATTTTTTATAATTCTCGTACAGATCATACCCACTTTGTATAAAAAGTTAAAACAATTCAAATTTCAGTCTAGAGATGACGGATGAGCTCCTAGTTAAGTTACAGTCTTTTTCATCTACTCCGCTGTACTACTCCACACCAGAGTGTGTTAGAAGAGGAGTACCGTTGTTTTATTTTCCACCGAATTCGTCTCAACCGGTACGTAAATATACTCCGAGGTAGAACCACACTATAGCTAGGCCTGCGTGATCTATGTTTGTTTAATTTTTTTATCACTCGTAGGAATTGGTCGTGGAGCAAGGAAAGTCTAAGTATGTTTTCTTTCACGAATGTTAGGATGATATGCTAAGACGGAATTATTAGCAATATAACTATATATTAATTAGTATTATATAGTCACAAATTGCCCTTATTCTGAAAAGTATTAGGATAATTTGTAGAAGATGCATGTAATTTGGATAGACCACCATTATTGCAACTTTTTCTTTTTTCAAAAGATCCTCGAAATCACAAGAAGCTCAATTCGCTGCATTTTGGAAAACTATTTTGACGTTGGACGTCAGCATATGGTAAAATCACACAATAAGATATTTTACAACTGCAGGGTTACAGTTTTTCATAGATTCCTCTCTGAGTAATCATACATCTGTACCTCTCTCACAGGCAACGTTGGATGCACTGTCATCGAATTAACATGGTTCTGGAACACGACAGGTATTAATATTAACAATATTTATTTATCAACTACTATTATGCATATACATAGACTGTATTTGGTTCCCCCCTGACAAAAAACAGAATGGTTTTACGTCAATACGCCCCCCCCCTTTTTTTTCCGTCCTGTTCCAATTTATGTAAACTATCTAACTATCTTTTATTCGTCCATAATTGATATATTTTTATATGTTTTAGACCTCTTCCAAAGTCGTTATTTTTGCCATCTCCAAATGATCGTTTTTACCATATTCAATGTCGTAACTCCATCAGTTCACTCGCCGCGTTCTTAAAACAATGGAGCTCTTTTGTTCTTTCTGAAAGTCATAGTTACATTAAGTTTGTTCTGAGGTAAGTAAATCTCAAGGCAACTGTTCTCCAATCTTTCACATGCAGTATATGTGCAGATTAGTGATGATAATGATCTTTAGTCTCCACAGATAGAAATTATTAATTTAGAATCATGCAAGTGTTGTATAATTGTTTAATTCCTGTTTTATCCAGTGGTAATGCTGACGATCCACCAAGATCCTTCTGTATTGTACATATATCCCCTAAAGCTTCCTGTGTTGTTATAAGAATTGCATTTCTTGGCGGGACACCTGGCGAGAAGAGACACGAGGTGCAGTGTACACTCTTCGACATACAAATGATTAGCGCAAATTTGCTTTAACAGTTTATTTTATTGTATTCCTCCAGTGAAGATTTTCGTACCCCCCCCCTCTTTCTCTCTCTCTCTCTCTCCCTCCTGTGTTTTCCAATATTTCTCCTGCCATTATATTTCCATATAAAATATCCTTTTCGCCATTATATTTTCGTATCCTTACGATCTTAATTTATACGTATATAGATTGTAAATTCTTTACGAGATGATCTCAAGAAAATCAAAGCACAGTTTGCTCCGTCTGGAAAATCAGCTAAAAGTTCTCATATGGAAAATGAATTGGAAAAAGACGGAGAGATTCAAGAACAACTTGTTTGTACCAAACTTCTTCATAAACCTTTGGATAGAATTCTTGTCAGGTTGGATATCTGTAGAATGTTCCTTCCTGCATGGTAGTGCTGATCGCAATCTTATTTTTTTGCCATCCTTGCGTGATTCTATGTGAAAAACCATGTAAACGATATTATATTTATCTCATAACTACAATATCATATGGCTCCTATATTTTTGAAGATATGACGAACAACCAAAGGAATTTCTTGTGAGATCCTCTCATTTCCAGCAATCATCGGGAATCATTGAAACATACGAACCATGGATGATGATGCATCGGGCGAAAAGAGCGCCAGAATCTCCACTCAAAGTTCTCTCCCGCTTTCTTTATCATCATCGTTGGGTGTTTACATTACATCCAACGCCTACAGATACAGCAAACACGGTTTCCAAGATACTAAGATATCTTACAAAGTACGTGCGTTTTCATCATTCTTAGAAAGGACAGCGTATGTTTCAATAGCACGCTTTTTAAACTATAGAAGCTCGTTTGTGCTTCTCCCTAATTGCAATTAAGCGGATCGCTAAATTGTTTACGTTTTGGACGAACTTCACTTTCCCTTTATAAAAGGTTTTGTGATGAGTTAAACCCACAGGTCAACTCACTCTGCAGTCACAACAATTTCATTTTCAATTTTTTCCATGACCCGAGCTCAACTTTAAATTCAGAAAACGTGAGGATCAAGGATACAGATTTGTAGCCAGTAATCTTGGAGTAACAACAATGTTTAAAGAATTTTGGGTCAAGGTGAGAGTCCAGTTTTTTTCCCGTTAAATTCACTCAATAGCATGGAACAAGAGAACAAAATCATGGTCAAAAATTGCCTGCTTAGCCGAGGTTTGATGAAACGATGATTGAAACTCGAGTTTATTATTTTAAGGAATCCTCCGAACACAATAATCAACAGACAACATGTATTGTGCAGTTTGTCATGTTTCCTCCGTTAACGTCATCTGGTCATAACCGTGTAGCAGGCTGGGCACTAGACAATGGTTTACCGGAGGATGAACGTGAGTTGGAGTTAGTGTTGGAGATCTGGGTCGAGCCTCAACATGGAGTAATCGCGGAAAACGAGAATCCTGAGTACTTAGTCGGAACGCAATATTTTGAAATTCCTGCCAAGGTGGTTATTTTTTCTCTCCTGTGCTTTTATATTATATTTTCAACATTTTTATCCTATAGTCAACTGAAACTTCACCGATAATGTTTTAACGTCATCTATACAGTATTCCCGTGTGTGTTTCTCGAATGCAACAATGTGTAAATATATTCAAACAGATCTTTGAAGCTGACCTAGAGGCCATCTCAACATGGTTGACGTTTGACCATATTTGTCGTATGTGTGATGATCGGGTTGTCAATTCACCACAACAAGCAGTTGTTCATGTAAAATCACCACCAAATGATCCCGACAGAAAATCTTTAATTTATGAAGTTCCTTTTCCTTTTGATGTAATGAAAGTCCTGGGTTATTCGAGACAGGCTGAACTTTGGTTTGCTACACTCATTGAGCATGAGCGAGGTATTTATAATGGCTTCTCGACTCTACTATCTTATTACGCCTGCTTTGATGACTTAGACGCTTCAGTACGTCCAGTTCAGGCAAATATAGATGAAAATGTGACTGTTACACTACGTGTTTACACGAGGAAACTGGACGAATGAGAACACGGTCCCAATTCGTTAAAAAGAGAATCAATGAATGACCTTTTCCTGGCGCCATGATCCGCTTAGAGTATTTGATAAAAATTTAGCGTTACATCATTTATTAATATGCTTTTCTTTCTTCATCCAGTTTCATCAAGATCCACAAACCGTCGCTCCAATGATATTCTGTTTAGTTACATCTTAGAACATATGGAACGACTCAACGACAGAGAGCTTACACTCACCTCGGAAGATTCACAGATATTCCTGGATTTCTGTCTTCAACGTGTCGGTCTTGGAAAATCTAAACAGGATGGAAGCGTAACATGGCGATGTTTTACCAGAATGGAAAACAATCATTTATTGTTGACTTTTGTTCCCTCTTCATTTCAATCTTTACAAGCTTTTGCAAGGATAGTAAAAGAACTTGAATCATATGATGAACAATCTACTGAGTCTACCGCGAGTGTTATGCACCGAAAGAGACAGGCGTCAGCTTTCAACATGGAACTCGATTCAACGGATCAACAAGAAAAACCTGATGACGACAATAGTAAAACCGTTGGAAAGTTCTGGCGAAATAGGCGCTCGAGTCAACGCAGATGTGTTGACTTATCTGTGTTTGTTTATGATTTTTCTTTATCGTCTCTTACTGAAATTGATACCGGAACATCATTGAAGGACATCTTATTGGATTATAGAAACAGACTTGAACGGTTCGAACAAAATGCTAGTTTGGAGAAATCAAAAGAACTTCGTTTTCATTGCATTGCTATTTACGAACTGTTCTTATATTGTTTTGTTTCCACGGTATTCGAGAGCTTGCAACGAGGGGAGAATGTTGATGATGATAATGTAGACGAAATCCTAGCAATTTGTTCGGATCATATTCCAGAAGAAATTGATCTTTTTGGATTTCTTGGAAACATATGTGGTCATATAAAACATCCCACAAACACTGGCTCAGTATGCTCCTCTGAAGAATCTCTACAAGACTGGAAATGCACTCATGAAGAAAATGCTATCAACTTTCTCCGAAGCAACTGTGATGTCACATCTACAAAGGAATTCTGGCCCAGATGCGAGGAGTTGTATGGTTTACATGATTATATTCAACAAAGATTTCATTTAGTACTTCAGAAATATTTCTCTCCAATTCCAAACAGAAAGGATCATTATTTTTACCTACCAATTTCCCGACAGGATCCATACCAGGTAAACCTTAACGCGTGCATTCATTGACAACCAGCTACTACCAGTAAAAACTATAGATCGAGTTCACTGGTTGCAACTGCAAGAAAACCATAGGAATGTAACTTGCAACCTTTTCCTCGAAATGAAGAAAGTGACTTTTCATTAGTGGGACATTTCACATAATGGTTGTATCGTGTCGTTTAATAGAATTTCTGTCTTCCATTTACAGTCGGATAAGGGTGAAAGTGATGAAGAATCGATTGAAACCAGCAGTGATAATGGCTCGGATGTTGTGTTTGAAAGAGACGACTCGGTTCTCATAAGTATGGATGCATCGGAAAGTGAAAATGCAAAAAGCGCTGCTGATACAAACACAATGGATGATATTACCGAGGGAAGTGTGAACACTTGGGATGATCTCGCTAGTGACGAAGAGGATCTATCGGATTATCCGTCGAATAGATCTGACATACAGAGCTCAACCAAGGAAGACAACATCATGGAACAGTCGGAGGAAGAACATAATGTTCCATTGTTTTTAAATCTGAATTGTACCATACGTGATAGAAGTCATTTGTCAAGCACCATGGTCAGTATGCCTGCGGAGTATTTGCCTGTTTGTTTTGGTAAGTCTTGTCCACATAATGATTACGATCTTGTTGAATGATTTATGACAATCACCATCCAGCTGCCACCAAGGTCTGAAGATCGTGTTACAAGGACATACTCATGTCACATGTCCATGAAATTTGACCAAAATATGTATAGCAATTTATTTCTTTTTTAGCGGATATTTTGGACCAAGCTAATCGCGATCCGGATCAAATCGTGGATCCTTCTATCTCATCATTACAAGTTACTCTCGATCTAATTTGTCTTGTTCCCCCAAGGGAACCAGATTATTCTCGTTGGAAATCTCGGAGTCGTTACAAGACTCGGTCTAGTTCAGTGTCGTCTGTAAGTTCTGACTCACCACAGGAGAGAATTGTAAGATTTGAAAATGTGGATGGAGCTGTAAAGTCTATTTCTGTGACTGCATCTCATGATAGAGAAAGCAGGTTAGTGGAGTTCTTTTGATAAATACTAGAGAAATTAAGTAATTTAGCTTGTAGGTACATGATGCACGTAAGTATTTAATACTGCAAAGCTTTCGGTCCGTTAACCTGGATAAATTAGTACTTACAAGCTAAGTTACCTATCTACTCTCACCATGCAAACATACAAGAATATTACCAGAGAAGTTGTTCTTTGCTGTTTACGTAGGGATTAAAGAATTCTCGTATCGGGAATTATACCTGCATCAGTTCAACGAACAGATATTTATGCCTCACAAGGCAAAGCAAACGCAATTTATCAAATTATTTTTACTGTATTCCGTAATTACGTGACTTTATTTTAAATACGTTTGTCTTCAACAAAGTTTTCAAGGGTTAAACATAACCTTAAGGCGATCGTTGATTATTTGTAAATACGTTTCTTAATTTTTAGTCTACTTGTATCAGGACTTCCTCTAACTCAAATAGAAAGTATCTGCGCCATCAGAGATGACATCAACTGGCTACTGCATGATGAAATCGTCTTTTCGTTGTGTCATGTTCCCGATGTATCACTATCAATTCTCCACAGCGTCACAGAACATATTATTCAATCACACGACGAAAACAAACCGTCCAGTCGTTGCACTTCGATGCAACTAGATTTTGTGTTGGATCAAAGCAAAGGTTTAGCTATTTTCATGCAAGAACTTGATAAAATACGTATAGGTAGGTATTCTTTCCTTGGAAACATTTTTTTTACCAAAATGAAACGCTTAGTTAACTAACTTTGCTTAATGAATTTCATATCAATGTTAATTGTAATTGGTTAGTTGTAATCATATCCTAATATTAGGAAACCAACACAGAGGAGAGAAAGCATGTGGGTAATTGTGATTTAACACAAGAGGGATATGATACTTGAAAGTCACAATATTCTCATTTAATTCCTTTAGATCATAATCGATTATCAAAATTAGGTGATTATCATTACCTCAGACTATCAAGTTCACCGTCATCCACTAGTTTGGAACCAGCGGAGCAGTGCAAAACAGAGCATGAAAAATCTCGTATTGATGACGGAAAAAACTACGAGGATGGGATGTTTGAGAATGGGAAATCTCGTATGGACGAAGAAAAGAACCTGGAGGATGAGATGTTTATTGTTGCATCACTCCTCAGCGATGAAGGAAATTTTCCGCAAGAGGGAAGAATAAATATGTCTTCGGGTCATCAATTTCCTGCTGGGGACAGTTTTACAGAAGTATGGCTTATTCTTAGGAAGTCTGATGAAAATGTTCTTGAGGTTTTCTTTCACGCAAGGTTTGTATGATAAACTATTTATTATATTTATTCAATCTTATTAGTCGTAATGGGAGTTATATTGCCTCAGTGAATGGAAGTATCTTCATTTCTGCATTTCTGTATTGAAACGCCGTAAGCTGGGAAATGTATTGTAGCTTTCGTTCTATTGTTTGTCTAGGGACAGCTGCGATGACAAGCATCATGACTTGTACGCAATGGCAATAAACGAAATCAAGGATTTATGCCATCTTGTTAATCAGGTATTAACCAGGGGTTGATCCGGTTTGCAATAATTAATCAGTTACTAAAACCAGGGGTTAATCCGGTTTGCAATAATCATTATTTGTTTAACAGTGGGCATGCATGCATATCGTCACACGATAAATTGACATATCTTCATTCAGCGTTGTGTTTCTCTGTTTAGAAAATGTTGCTTCGCTACATGCATGATAACAAAATGTGTCATCCATTATTACAACCAAGATCTGAAGCTGATATATGGAATGAAAGTGTGTCCTATTCTAGTCCAGCTCGTTCATTTTTGAGAAGGGTTGATGGTACGTGGAACGCTAGCAAAATTCTATTAAAATGTGTGGATGAAATGCTCTAAATTAAAACTCTCTTATATCAGAAATCTATATAAAAGAGTTACCCAATGAACATGCACTGTAATATATCCGATATAGAGATCTTGTAAATAATCCCATTATAATTTGATATATTCGTTATTTGTTTCTATAGGCCGTCAATTTCTACATCAGTATCTTTATGAGCCTGGACATTTTAGATGCCCAGCTAAATGGACGGCATGCCTACCAATTCATTTCAGGTTACGAGGAAACTCTAATCGTAATAATGGCGCAGATAGAGCGAAACAAGCATTACAGACTGTGTTAAGTAATCACTCGCTGAATGAGCATCAATCTGAGAGATCCAGTATGTATGTCTACCAAGAAAAGAATGGTAATATCTTCTATTTCAAGTAAGTAGCGCATGCGCGGGAATAGATTTTATGTATACTTCATTTACCGTTATTGTTTGGTGTTGGATACTGCCTGTGAATTATACAAATTATTTGGGTCGTGTACGTAGGACTAATAAGTCTATTTCCCAAGGATGTTCCTCGTCCTGTGAAACTCTGTGTTACTATACTGTTTCTCATATTTAGTTGCTATTGTATTTATGTCCAAATTCTCTTTTCGTTAAGTTTGGATTCGTCTTTATGTTTGAGCAAAGAAGACCAACTGGAAGGCACGAAATATTACAATTATGACGCAGATGAATATATTTCGTCACCACCTCTATCTCCAGTCTCTTCATTTCAGTCTTATCCAAAGACCGCAGGAACTGCTGATCTTGAAGATGATCTGGTAGGCACCTGTTTGTATCATGAACAGTTACTCTATTTTGTGGGTATATTTGAAAATTTTGACTTATATACGTTAATCGCCTTTTGCTGTGAAAAATTTATGACAATTATAGCTTTTTCTCGGCGAAATGTGAAATATTTCGACCACTCGCATAAATATCGACCAATTCTCTCTACTTGATTGCTCACAATTCATTGACCAACGAGTGTTCACCTTTCCCAAGATATGAATATCTCTTTTTAGGAAGAATATTCAAGAAAGCGAAGTGCAGGTGTAACTACTGACACGATCAGTATAAATGGTTCTGCGGTTCAACCTGTTAGTGAACATGTCGAGGAATGTATAAAACTCACGGTTCATGGCGTCACAGAACCCAGTGATGAGATTAAGAAAGATTTAGTTAATGTTCTGCAAAAACGTCTTGATGACTACACTCTAGAAATTTTGAGCATGTCTCTGGCAAGGAATCCGAAAACAAAATTGGCATTACAAGATGTTCAAGTAAGTTTTATTTTTAAATGATAATTGAAAGCGTAAGAAGAGTAAAAACGCAAGGGTTTTTACAAACCAAGAAAAGCAACGATATCTGCTTTCAGTTGATCCTGAAAGTCATTGCGTGCTCGTTGACAGTGCTCTTTTTTTCACACCAAACGTTTCATATTTTTGGTTTTAGTTTATTCAACCAACTGGATCTGCTCCACTTCAGTTTATTCAAATGGTGCTTCCTTCCTTTGCTGAAAAAAATCTTCATCCATTTTCATTTTTCTTTAAACAACATCTTCTGAATTACGTACACGCGCCAAAATATACAACACAAAAAAAGAAAGATCATTTCAAGAAGTACACAAGCGTGGGTGATCCCGAAACGTTACCAGAAAGTGACGTATTTATCTTCACCAAGACCGGAGCACAAGGTTAGCAAAGGCTGTTACGCTTTCATTTCTTAAACGCAAATTAATTTCTGTACCTTTCCAGTCATAATTCCCTGCGTAAATTACAGAATTGGAATTGTCCCTAAACTAATTTTGTGATCTCAAACAACGTTATAATATTCTAGGCTCTGATCTAGGATCAGAATTAGTTTTATATTGTTACCATTTTTTCTTTTTAATTTTTACTTAGGTGTAGCATGTTTAGCTGTTAGTATTTCTGATTCTCATGGGAATACTTTACAAGTAAATCCGCAACAAAAAGCGATCGGCCTCTTGGATTTAGAAACGACGTACAACATGGAAGAACTTACGAAAGTTGTCACAGTTGAAAATTCTAATTCTTTGCAAGGTTTGTTTTCTCATATGCGTTTTGTGAGCGATGTCCTTTTATGATCCTGATGTATATTTGATCACTATTATGCCCTCTTTTGCCCACTTTATGATACTTCCAAAAAACTGTGTACTGAGTTTTCAAGACAGTCACCTTAAAGAAACTTGGTACTTACCTGGAAAATAATCGCCTTGCATAATGTACGCAGCTACGAATGGTAATAATGTAGTGAAATTTCTTTTATTATGAGGCAGTCATTTCAAATTTTGTAGATAATACGATGCTGGTTGAAATATCGATTTGGGAACGTGGTGATGTTGGTATGGAGCAATTAAAAGAAAGACTAAAGAAATCAGTTCGTCATGCATTGTGCGATATTCTTGTGGAGTATTACTTACTTACAGCTTCGTTTTCATGCATTCCTAACCAATATCTCAAGCCTTCTTCCAGAGATGCCCGTTACAAGAAAATAAATGCCCCAAAAACATTGACTGTGGTAACTACCCATCGTCGGACTCCATCCGCTGGTTCAATTGGATGTGGGCGCACGTACAGTCCAAAGCCAGAGCCACGTGCTTTTAGATCACAATCTTCATCACCTGTTAGGAACGGACCATCGTCTCCTAGCGTATTTAAAATTAGGACTCCAGAAATTATAACCACATCTCCTATCACAGATCCCATGGAGATCCCAGGAGATGATTATAATAAAAATAATTCACAAGTGGGGGGAATAATCAATGATCCTGCTGACTCAAAGAATTCTCTGACAAATTCTTCAGATCAGACTTGCAAACAACGCAGCCACAGCGAGGGGAAGATAGGGAATATGAGAAGTGCAAACTTTAGACCCATTTCTCGATCATATTCCACCCCCACTCCACCAGTCATCGAGAAACAAAATACTGGCGAAGAACCAAAAAGTGGTCGTTTTTCCCCTTACGAGACTTTTACAGAGAACGAGTTAACAGAATCCAGGGAGTTTGGAGAGGAAGCCGTGCGAGCAAACGATCGTAACGTATCCGGAAAAAATCGAAATAAGACTTCGGAATACGACGGTGATCCGAAGATGAAGGAAAGAGACGCTGCTGAAGAAAGACGAAAATATGAAAATGGAGAGAAGGGAAAATTACATCCGAGGTAAGACACTTGATTGAAAATAAAATTTAATATGTCAACTGTGTAAATTTTCAGTTGTTCTCTGCAGTCGTAGACTCGTCGGTATGAATTGACGTTTTGACATTTCTTCTAAGTTTTGAGGGTCCAGCTCAAGAATTGATGAAGTTTGCCAAAGATCTTGAAACTCCTTCAATACATGTGCAAAGAGAAACGTTACAAACAAGATATTCTGTTGATGCTATACTCTATGAATTGATGAGCCTGGTAAAGAATCTCTGTCCAGATCTAAACTCCCGCGTATATCGTGCAGCGCCATGGTAGGGTGAACAATGATATACATTTCTATAAACAACGAAAATCTGAATAATTTTGTTTTGTCAGTCTACATCAGTCTACTAGATATTTCTGATCTGTAAAAAAACCTCGTTCGGTAACCCATTATTGAATTTACTTATAATTATATATTCATAGTTCTTTGTATTGTTTCTGTTCAGCAATTCTAAATCTTTATGTGATTCTCAAAACCCCCAGAATATGGAATACGTCCTGTACGACCCGATCAGACCCCCACTGCAGGTCAGTACGAACTATACTGTGGATAAGAAAGTGGATAAGAAGGCCCACTTTAGTTAGAAACTTTGATGTGAATATCTTAACAGTCTCACATTTATTACACATTTTGCCTGCCATCTTCCTAACCAGTTGATGACTTTTTGCCATTAAACACGCTGTACTGTCTGGCTGTTCTACTTTCAAGCTAGTTTTTTGCATAAAGAAACGCGTGGACACTTCGCACTAGTGTGTGGGACCTCTATAGTCCTCTCATTGTTCTTATGCATTTTGTACAATTACAGCGTTTTTATACAACAATGCCAAGCTGATAATGGAGAAAGCATTGGTGACATACGCTCGTGAAGGTCATTTAAGGTTTTCTTATTTTTAGGCAAAAGATGATCAAGAGACATCAGTTGATCAAAGTGGTTCTTACATAGCAACCTCAGCAAAATCTGCTGGTTCATTTCTTTTTATTTCACGAAACGTGGTTCAGTGGAGATACAATTTACAAAAACTACAGGGTAAAATATAACCTACTATACGCAGACACTTGCATAATAATATATGATATTAATACACCTGGAAATCCTGGGAATATGTGTCTGCATTCTTAGCTGCGGTATACCTGAAATTGAAGATGGCGTTGCTGGTTATTAAGGCGCTTGTGTTATTTTAGAAATTTACCAGCGTAAGTTATATGCGAACCAATCGAGGTGACCAAATCCACACCACCCCTCCTTCCCTCACCCTTTCTTGAGTCATATGGTTCGGTTGTCTTTTATGTATTCGATGTTTTCCAATAGAATTATTCAAAAGGTACAATTAATAGTTACTTTCAATTGTATTTCAGATCTAAGCCAGATGGAACCTGATTTGGAAGTGGCATATAAAGGTATGTTATATCTTATATGTTTATCCAATCAGATTTCAGACTAACCATGTCTGTTGTATACACGAGCAAGTAAAACTATAAAATTGTCGTATAATATTGCAGAATATTACCCTTCGCAACAATTTCAATCATGGAATGACGCCAGCGAACGTAGCAAAGATAGTTCAGCGGCTTTCTCCAACTGTTTTCCTGGTTTTGTTTCCCGCCAGAGACTAATATTGATTGACGTTCGAGATAAGGAGGTACTTTGATTCATAGCTGCATGCTCTTATCATACGAGGTGGCTGTTTTGAGAAAGTACATTGCTCATGTCTGGTAATATGACTGAAAACATTTTATACATCATAATCGTGGTATCTCAGTGGATGTTCTCTCAGTGGATTTCAACTTATCATGCTTGCAGTACTTGTACCTTCTATACCCAACGAAATATTTTATACTCAACGAAATATTTTATACTCAACGAAATAATGATTGTTTTGCAGATAATAGCCACAACGTACAACATGTCCAGTGAAGTAAACAGTCAGTTTTCACTTCGTCTGACTAATTTGGTAAACTGGAACAATGCTCGATGTCATCTTGTTTCGTGTTTGTTTCAACAAAAAATGGGCTTATTTCATCACTCAAATTTTCAAGGCCTCAACGCCAAAAACAAGGTATGTTAGTAATCCTGAATAGATTATTTGTGCTTCGTGATTTTTTGGATAATGTTAAATCTATTTCATTTCCCATATCCGTGCATTTTCTTTCTTTCTCATATAGGAATTGAATCCATTTTGTGACACCAGCAACGATCATCATCTCTTTTCGCTTTTAAAACAGACGGCACCAACTTCTCCTGATGTAAGTTTAATGGAAATTTACCAATGGAAATTTTGCTACAACAGCTGTTCTATTATAAAATATGAGATGTTAAGTGTTGTTCAACCTGTTTATGAGTAAAATCAGCGGTAAAATCGACTAGCATTAAATTGATACTAGCAAGATTCTGATTTCACGTTCACTGCAATTACTTGCATTGATTGGTTGTATATATTTTTATAGAAAAGTTCTGGTAGTAAAAAACAGATTCCTTCCGTTGCTAAATTATTATTTGAAGAAACTTTACGAGATGTCGTTCCTCCCAGACCACTGCAAACTACAAAACACTGTACTTACCGTGATCCAGTCAAGAGGCATGGTGCACAATTTCAGGTGAGATTCATACCGCTGAACTATCCTGATCTACGATTATGAAAAGGAATACTTCATGTATTCATTTCAAGGATGAACATGCGGGAAGAAAAAAATGGGACAAGCACTTTTTTAAAAAAACAACAAAGTCTCGTGTTCTTTTTGCTTATTTTACATCTTATTTTGATATGCTACTCTAATATTTTTAGGAAATAAGAGCTATACAAATTCGAAGTAAGTCATTAATCTGTATTTCATAAAATTATATAAAGTAATGCGATCACTGCATTATTTTTATTTTGTGTTTTTAGAGGCCGTTCAAAATGCCGAGCTTCAGAAATTGTTCGCATCTTGCTTATGTCACGAAGGGTTTAACATCAGCACTGTGGTAATATAATTATGTTTGATATTTCGTGGTTCTTTATGCTAATAGATATTTTACCATATATATGTTTATGTCTTTGTTATGCTTGGCTCTCCTCCGCATTACGTGAATCTTATATTCTCAGGATAGCAGTATCAACTTGTTAAAACGACAAAGTCGTCTTGTTCATTGCTGCAAAACACCTTTCCTGTTTTGTGATGAATGGATATCTAGTGTTGGGGAGAAACCAAGCTTGGATGTAAGTCGAGAAAGAATATCAATTATTAAAGAACGAATTATTAATGTCATAGTGCTTACTTCATTCGTATAAAATATTTTACTATATATAGGTTGTTAATATTTAATATTATTTTGAAGCAACAAGGCGTTGGTAATAGGAACGAGCAAGAACCAAATGTGGCAGTAAAGGAGGATAAATGGCATTACAAATTGCGAGAGGAGTTTATCAATTTCTACAAACAATTTTTACAACAGTTTGCACTCGTCCAACTTACTGTTCAGCCAACAAAAGTGTAAGTCTCGTATTTTTACCACTGAATACTTATATATATCACATATTCTACGAATATATTAAGATAAATCCTTCTTCTAATCTACATGTATATAGGTCAAGAAAATCAACAAAGCCAACTCGTAAAAAGGCAGTGTCGGAACGAGGGAAGGTAAATGATCATCATTTATCATCATTCATCATCATTGATCATTGTGTGATCATTTGCTCATCATTGATTATCATTGATCATCATTGAGTGTGATCATTTGATCATCATTGATCATCATTGAATGTGATAATTTAATCACACGAATCTACCACCTCAAGCCTAGAAAATCCTACAAAAATTCCAATGCTGATCACTTGTCGTAGGATTTTTGAATTTTCGTACGCTTTATTAGAGCCAATTTCCTTTCATAATCTAGTAAACACTGCTTACGTAAAATAATTTAATTTCGATACATTTGAAGCTTGTAAGTGATATTGGAGGCGATACAAATGAGAAGAAACTGCATTATTATTTGCAAAAAACAATTGATGGAAGTAAGGATACCGAAAAATATGCATACGATGGTGGAATTATGTTGGTTGAGCTGGCATACGAGGTATTATAAATTAACTTGTTGAATCTAACGTGTAGGATTGTTTTCTTAGGACAGTACTTGCATGGCATGTTTACTAAAACATTTTGAGAGGAGAATATATATCCGTAAGACAAGTGGTTTGCCGGGAGACCTGTCATAACTGAATGTCAAAATTAATGTCCGTATTTTAGGGTTGTCATTTTTGTGTCAAGTTGTATGTTTTTGAATCAAGTCGACTGCTGAGCTCTGATAATTTCAACCAACAGGTAACAATGTTGTGTGTTGCGTATTCACCATATTTAGCACTAAACTTTGTCCAAACTTGTATGATAGCTATAACTTTGATTGAAAACAACGCAAAGATCGCAAGAATCTTTTGTCGTTTATCGTCCTTCGCATGGTTGCACTCCGAGCAAGAGCTGTCCAGTGACGCCCCGCAACAACCACATTTGTCCCCGCTTGTATATCACTAAGCAGACCACAACAGCATATTCTTACATCAACGTCTTCTCTTTTAATTGTTTCAGGAAAAAGCAAGTTTTCTTGCTGAATGTTCCAAAGTGCGCGACCTCACTCATCTAAATTCCTTCAGTTATGATTTCCATCTCCGTCATGTCCAGCATTTTCTGATGGAAAAACGTCCGAAGGGATTTCCAAAAGGATTCAAGTTAACATCAATGTTGAGCAATCTTATGAACGTCTTCATCTATCCTCCCAAATTCTCCTGGAATCATATTTGCAAAGGTATGGTGTATAGTAAGTAGGTGTATTGTAGAGATTCTCAGATTCCTCAGAATTCTTGAACTTAATGATAAAGCTGGCTCATAGATCCACTCATTCCCCAAAAAACCAACTTTCACTGATGCAAACTGTCGACAATCAGGCGAGCTTGCATGCTGAATGATTCCTAGTTTAGTAGCAGCACTTCTTTATCCAATTTTATTTCAGGTCAACTTTCACTTCCGTTGCCCAATCTTTCTCGCGAGACTGTCTACAACTACATAGTTGAACATTGTTCACGATATAACCTATCTACGGTTGAAATGAATTCACAAGACGACAAAGAAGAACACGTTTTAGTCTCTTCATCTCAAGATAAAAAACAAGGACATGTTTTAGCCTTTTCATCTCAAGATAAATATGATGTATCACTCTTGGCCAAGCTTAATTTAGACGGCGAGGAAGGACAGTTGGGGCTAAAATTTTACGTCGTTAAGACGAATCATCGAGAAATATTTCCAAAAATGAATCAGGAGTATTCACGTAGAAAACAATCATCTGGTTTTATTGGCGATACAGGTAGAGAGGTTTTAAAATATAATTATGAAGCATCTAGTCGAATTACTGAGACAAGTTGCAGTTAATTTATTTGGTCATTTTTGGAGAGCTCCCGCTGACTGTTCGAATCCTTTTTGGATTCCATGAAGAGACGGTGAAGAATCTTTGTTCGTGAAGTTCTTCGCCAGTAGATGCCCCTCTAATGGCCTATTCCAATACCTTGAAGACAGCTTGTCCATTATAGTAACTGTAATGTGCATGTAATTTGTTTCCCTCAGTTATCGAACATGTTATACATTTTTATTCTAGGTATGCGCTTACGTCAAACATTAGGTCCTGGCCAATCAAACAGTCCAGAACGCGAGCCCTCGTTATGGAGTCATGGACCAGGGGCTTACAATGAAAACATAAAACGGTCTTCATCCAGTCCACAGTTCATTACAGCCTTGCCACTTTCTCAAAGTCCTTCAGAAGAGCTGCTGAGACATTTACCTTCCTCACCTGAATCACGTGAAACAACGCATTTGCCGAGTTCCTTGACTTCTCACAACATTTCAAATTCTCAAACGAGCCTCTCAAGGGATAGACCTTACATCGTGACAGGATTAGAGCCAGATCCTTCAGACTCGCTCATGGCCTGGGATTTGAGACATCTTGGTAAAGATGCTGATAAATGTTATCGTAAACTACACGAGGCAGTGAGCTCTGCTCAGAAAGACTGCTTGAGAGATCACTTGTGGCATTTGATGCTGAAAGGTGCGACTAGTGACGAGAGTGGTAGTGAAAGTCAGGTGTGGAAACCAAAGAGCCGAAGAAAAACTGAATATCGTCGAGTTTTCAGTGATTTCACAGACGCCTGGACAGTACCATCATCATTACAAGCTGTTGAGGACGGCCCGAATATGGTATGATATAATCTATAGACCTTCATATTAATGGTAAACGTGTTATTTTCAAACTTTTTTCTATATTTCTGTCAAGTCACATTTCCTCGCGATTGTGCTCACAAATTGTCTGTCTTACGCAGATGTCCTTCGAAGATTTTGAACGTTTGTTGGAGTTAGTGAAACCATCGTCTCTTCCTGTTGTGGATGAGATATTAAAACCATTTATCTCTATGGATATTGCTTGGTACTCCAGTCTCTGGTCGTAAGTATATATCTTTTTTTAGATAGTTTCTTGCATGAGTTTTAAATAATTGAGAGGTAGAGTGGAATTTTCTTTCAATGAGGGTATTTTCTGGCTTGTATGATGCTCGTGATGTGATCCATCACCATGTCTGTCAAATAACTATATCAGTTTCGCGGGTGTTTTGCGATTTTAGACAATTTGCAAAAATGTATTCATCAGTGTTTTTTCAACAGCATTTTCATCTCAATGTCGTTCATCTTTCCTATTCTAGCACGTTACTATTGAAATTTGGAGATACTTCAAGAGAGTTTTCAAGGAGCGATACCAAAGTTCACTATTTAGTTCTTCTCAATCCAAAAAATCTTGATATGTTCATACTTATCACGATAAATGAAGAAAAACATCATTCGGTAAGGTCATACAAGCTTTTCTAACACCCGCTAATCTCATATCACAAGATAGTTACTCACACTAACATTTATCAAGTTTAATAAATATTTTACTAATTACATGTTTCCCTTTTTCGAAAAGAATAAGTAAATAATGATTTTCCATGTCCACTTGATTCCTCATATAGGACGTGAAGATCGTAAATCGCATCAATGCCGACGAAAATAAGAAAAGTGATCGAGTTCTTTTAGCGAAATCCTCTGATGACTTCATAGCAAAAGTTGTCAACGCGCTCTGTTATCAAATGTGGACAGGATTACTCCTTTAGTCGAATCAAGGCTACGAGAGTTGAGGCGTTTAAGTGCAGAAGACGCCGCGTGCACTTAACTCAGGAAATTGGCCATCAACAAGCTGAGCTTGAGCTAGTGTTGATGAAGACTCATTAATAATGGACATGTGCATTTGCCATGAATTATGATTTATTGAATTATGCAAATTCTCATTTTTATGCTAAAATCAAAGGAACTTAAGGGCAACACCGTCGACATTCTAGATTAACAGCCATGGCTATAAAATAAACTACGATTGTTTCTTTGTTTTATCGCCAGCAGAGTACTCGTGATATTGTAGAACATGAAAGTAAATCAAAAACAACAGAAAATGCCCACACGAATACATTGAAATCATTAGAGGGAAAATATCAGGATATTTTCCTGGAGGTTTAATGATGTGACTAAGGATATGCAACACAACACTGCAGCTCATAGAAACCAGAAACTAAATAAATGGAAAAATGAAAATTAATGTTGGTACGAATAACATGAAAAATAATAAAACACGTATTTAAAAGCACTTATCACAATAGCATGTCTTGCAAGAGAAGCACATGTACAGTCCGCTATACTGCGAGTAAAAAGAAGCCCTATTTTATTGTGGCACTCTATTTCAATTACACGTTTTGTAGGCAATTTAAAAATTATGGAGGTTGAGTAGTCGATTTTGATTTGCTATTTCACTAGCTGTAGTTAATTTTTAATTTTTGCTATCTCTGGCTACCCCATTCCATGCTGATGACTGGCTCATTTTTGTGACGTCTTCATACAAGCCGAATACAGATATCGTTCAAAATCTAAATTACAAAATATCCACGTACCAATAATTTGATTGTTGTTGGCGTGCGTTTGAAATCCACATGAAGTGTAAAAGCGACGAGCAAAAATAGTAACATGCATGGAATATATGTCACGAGCAATCCGTCCTTTTCCAGTAATGGTATCATGCTGTAACAGAATAAACATAATCTTAGAACCACAACTGGTACCACACCAGACACCACATGGTACCACGGTGAGGTATATTTCATTACTCCTGTTGTCAGGTTAAACGACGAATCCTTACATGACATTCATTACAGCCAGTGCGAGTTATGATGTTCAGAAAGTATAGGTAGAGTACAAGTGAATTAAGGACGTCGTTTTACAGTAAATTATAGTACCTAAACGATGCTACAGATAGAAACCACGTTGTTTCCACAGGTCGTAGTGGTACTAGCAGACTGGTAGGTCTGCAAGATAGAAAATAATTTCCAGGTGTTTTACGACAATGCTATAAAACAATAGTCACAATTACATTACAAATTCAATTCATTAATTGTAAATTCGATCGCTGTAATTTTTATCTTTATAATGTTGCTCAATCTACTCACGAGAACTCTCGTTTGCTTGAAAGGATTTATAATATAGTATGACCAGCTTAATAGTTGAACACTTACAAAGTAACGAGAAGGATAGATTTTTCATGGACTTGAAATGAAAATAAAAAGAACACGAGAGATGAGTTAACCTGCAAAAATTAAGATTGATTTCAGCTGAATTCTTCTAAAACAGGTATAGAAGTTACTGTACTCAAATAAAGTGAGGAAAGAGGGAAAGAAGGTCGTTTCGAACCTTTCCAATTTTAAGAATTGGTTGTGAATAATTACCCAAGCAATACTTACGAGAGAAAGTAAGAATGATTTTCGTGATGGACGTAAGGTTAACATAACATTGGATGGTAAAAGACAGATCAGCGTTGAGCCCCCACTATAAAAAAGAATATTCTGGTTTTGTCAAAATTTTCAGATATAAAATGTTGCATGTTGTCGTATTTCCTTTACATATCAAAAGTTTGCAGAGTAAATAAAGTTTTATAACTAATACCAAATCGCCAACAAAGTACTCCTAGAGAATATATTCTTTAATTTGACAAAGACAGAAATTGAGCACCAAATATTGGCAACCTTGTCCTACATGAAAAATAATTAGAGTAAAGAATTATATAATGCCAGCTTATTTTAACTAAACTCTGTCTGAATTTGAACATAAACAAACCGTGGCAGACAAGTACAAACCTCGTACAGTCCTCGGGCAAATGGGAACAAACGATGAAGGACTTGAACAGCTAAACTAAAGCTCCTCAGAAAGGGTAACCAACTGCAAACAGAAAAAAATGAAATATAAAAACACTGAATTCATCAATGAAGATATCCACACAAACAATGCACTTACCATAAAACAAACGTTCCTATAACTGTTATTCCCAAACAGAAAACTTTAAATATGGCATCTACCCTAAAAAAGTTATTTGGGAATGTATTTTTTAACTAAAAATTACGTGTGAAATGTGTGGGAATATGGAGTGAACGACATACGACAGCTGGAGACAGACCCACATAGATACAATAAAATACAATTAAAACAAATACAGTACCCACCACGATTTTTTCCTTAAAGCTTTTCCTAACAGAAAACTAAAGAAAGGAAGTGCGTGATACAATTCCATCTGTTTGTAGTTGAGCGCCAAAGAGAACATAATTGATCCTAGAATATCACGATCATTGATGACACAAATGATTCCCCACAATGCTAAACCTAAACTGATACAGTTGTATCTGGAAAGTCGTGAAGGAAAATTGAGAGCAGAATGACGATGGTTGATATCTGCGCTAACCATAACCATAGCTCCGATAACCATGCGGTAAAACCATACAAAATTGCTAAAATGTAGTAGGCTAATCAAGGCTGTAGAAATGAGGCCTGAAATCAAGACAAACGTGTGTAGCGTCCACCTGTGTTGTGGTAAAGTTAGATTTAGTTGTTCAACATAAAGATGTATTTAGTCATATAAATTAGGATACTGAAAATGGCCATGGTCGATTAGAATTAAACCAGGGTAAAGAAGAAGCACCAGTGAAACTGAAATCTAAATTATACGATGATGTCATAGATGTCATATCATACATACTGTATATAGCCATCCTTTCACGACAAATGGCAATTTGAGTCTTGAGATGTTAAATTGTTATTATGAAGTTATCTCATGCTTTACGCCACGCGGAACAGGGAGCGGACAGCAGGCGCGGCTGGGGCAAAGATGCCCATTCTATATCTTACAGTATGTAGAAGTTATAGTATATTTTGCATTCTTTTGTATGGGCCGACAAAGAAAATGCCCCTTCATAAAATACGCCCTCCTTCCGACGACCCTGAATTAATAATATACGCCAGCATTTGTTTAACAAAAGTAAGCCTTCACTACATCAATTCGCTAACGTGAAATAAATCGTTGCACGCGTCAATTGTAACGAAACTGATTCGTATGTACCTGTGAAATTTTCGAGCCTTTTTTATAAAAAGATGTACAAAATACGTAAATAGCTGGAAAATAAATCAAAACATCTGCAACCAGAACTAAAAAAAGGTAAAAGTAAAAATAAGTTTACTGATGGGTGCCCTCTAACATGACTTTGCTTCGCTATTTTTGACCATGCTACTGTTTGCTGGCATCAGGATGCATAACTTCTGAAATGATTCCTCAAGACTACCTACATGTCTTGCTGCAAGATTACCTGTATATCTCATGAAAAGTTTATGTTCTGGACTTTCAAATCCTCTTGATGTATTTAAGTTCACCCAAGCAGGATTAATGATATTAGCACTGAACAGAAAATCATTAAAATCATTCTGTGGCTGGCCAACAATATAATACTGTTCTAAATATATTTGACTTACAGATAGCCACATAACCAGCTGTGGTATGCAGTTAATGGTGGATAGTCCAAACCCCAGTATTGTAAATCATTCAGTGAAGAATTTACATACCTAAAAATAAACTACAACTTAATATATTATTTACAATGCAATGTTCTGCACTAAGACAAGTTCTTAATTGATAACTCCAAACAAAACAAGGAAAATTATCTGACAATCACCATTCTTCAACAGGTAGATTCACTGTTATTTCCATCCAGTGACGTTGAGCTTCATAGTCACCAAACATGGGAGCTTTTCCCGCACCTGTGTGTGTGTTGAGTTAACACAAGCATAAAAACAGCATGTAAACAGCACTATAAAATCATTGGGTTTAATCAGGCAAGATAAAACAATAAAATTGGGAATTGCAGTTCTCCCGTGAAATAAACAAAAAATTGCTGACGCAGCAAAATGTAGTTACAAATATGGCAAGTAAACACTGCATGTAGCACAGTGGTATTTTAATTAATTCAGCCGTTTCGTAGCTGTTGGAAAACATATAATACTACAGTATCTAAATAATTAAACATTGAATGAGCACAAATAATTACAAGACACGCATATTTTGCGCGACAAGACATCTGGGAAGAGAAAAAGTGCACGAGTCACGACTCACGAGAGGGTACGTTACGAATGTGTTGGAACCACCCAGATTTCTCTGTCAGCGGTTTTGCGGCACGGTTTAAAAAACATCGAGGGTTGGAAGAAAGTATAAAATATATCCTTATTCGTAACTCTGGTGAAATCAAGACCAATCAACTTGACACGTTTGCATATTAGCGTGAATGATTAAAACAAGTTTGATGGAGCTTTTGCAGCTGACATGACGATACCATACCTGAGTACGGATTCAGCGAGACGCAACATCTTACAAATACTGATAGTAAAATAACAACAAATAGGAAAAAACGGCTATCTTTCTCATTTATTAATATTTCATCTCTATTTTTTGTCTTCTTGTCCGCCATGTTGGAAAGGGAATTGACGGGCGACGTCCAGTCGTAAAAAGTGTCGCCGAATCGGATTGCTTTTAAAATTTTATAAATAAATGAAATTACGAACGTGCCACTAAAGGTTGAGATAGTAACGTCCAGGAGTTGTTAAATTGTGATAGGAAAAAATATTAAGACAAAGCTGTAATTGTACTTTTTACACAAGAAAAAACTATCTGGGAGACGTGAAGAATACGAATCTTGGTACGAATCGGGGGAGTCATATCACTGCCATATCACTGCACCATGTTCCAAAATGGAGTGCTTGTCTTCTGCGATGTTTGGTAATTTTAGAGATTCATTTGGATATTCCAACCTTAACAGCTCACGTCTTTCCAAAATAAACTTTGAATCCAGCTTATTTAATGGCATCGTACTTTCCAACTGGGATAACATCATAGGCCCTAGTCTGGGCCACCTTTGGTTGGAGTGCGAGGAAAAATGTAAAGAAGATAGTGTGAAGTACGTAGTAACACACACCCTGAATGGTGAACTCACGCGGCAAGCACCGCCTAACGCGGTCGACACGAAGTTTTTTATCATCAAAGAACGCGATTTGGTGTTTTCCTCTTATATATTTACTGGTATTTCGAAAGGAGCAGGCGAGACATTATATTCATTGAGCTTATTACTTCCGTTTTCTGGTTTGAAGGAGTACTTACGGTATCAAGAGTTAGTGGATATTAGAATGAAATTACTTGTAGCTAGGTTCAGAGTTTTGCAAGAAAAGGTACGGTGGATTACTTTTATGTGTATCACAGTCCATATTATATTTAAAGTACTGGCATATATCATTAATAATATTAATGATTATCATTTACATAGGACCTATTGACTTCAATTCCAAACCTCTCTAAATATTTACCCAGTTTAATTGGAATGGTTTCTTCACTTCATTTACATGGCTTATCCAGTACTTTGTCTGTAAGTGAACTGTTTTAAGTATTAATTAAAACTTTTATCAGTGCATGTCTTCTTTATATATCCAGGTTAACATGGATATACAGTGACTCTAGGGATTTCAAACTGTAGCAGAATTCCACATTTAATTAGGAATAGTTTTATATTGCCTACCAGCTACTGGAAAAAGAAAAAGTGTTGCATGTTTAGTCTGGTACCTTTGGATGTCACATATAATAATGATTATTTTAATCTAGGTTTGGGACAGTGCTTTTGCTCCTGGAAACAGCTCCTGCTTTACCTCATCATTTCTTGAAAAGTAGGTTTTCGGAGGTCACAAGAATGTATCTGGTACCACAGGTTTCATCTGTTCATATCACAATTTAAGAAAACATTTCTATAGCTCCAAATGCACTTGTCCAATCTTTTATCTAAATTCTTACATGTAGATGTATCACATCACATCTGGAGACCTTTGGAAGTAGTGTGGTCATTGGGAAAGCAATAGAACCTATTAATTTGGTGAGAAATTTGGTCAGCTATAGTTACAAGCTCAAACTCCTTTCATATAAGAGCAAAAACCACTGCTTACCTTCCCAGGTTAAATGATTAACGATTCTTTGCCAGTGTAAGCACTAGGCACTTTGGTTTACGATTAACAAACCTAGGTCAGTCAAACCAAGGTTTCTAACACACCTAAGAACTGCCTGGAATTGAGTGCCATGAAAAGCATTCATGATCAATTACACATAGTTCAATTTTACCCAATGGAATTTATGATCAACTGAGTTTTATTTTAAGCAATGGGTGGTTTTCTAAAATTTAATCTCTGTGTAATTCTAGATGATCAACACGTTGGCATTATTTTTATCACCTGAAGAGAGATGTCAGTCTCGATCTGTGACAAATGATGCAAAGATGGAATATGAGTCAGATCTCTTTGTACAAGGAATTTTAATGGTATACTATAGTTTTATTTTGTACATTTGTATTATTGCTAATGCAATTGTTGACATGTTACATATATAATGTACATGGGATATATTGACTTGTTGATCTGTAAGACAGGAAAAAAACTAAAGATTTGCATAATTACTATATAAATATATCCTTGTAATATTTCTTTTTTATCATCTATTAGAATGAAGATGGTAGTTTTGAATTGAGCCCCAAAAGGATTTTAACAAGTCGTTTTCCCACCACAGTAATTAATCTTGAAAAAGAAGATGTCATGCAGTCAAGTCTCTTTGCTGACCATTCTTCGACTCGTCATCAGTTTTTAAACACGGATTTGGAGTATCTTTGGAATGATAATGAAGATGCTCCCTTGTATCCTGCATTGTAAGTTCCCCTCAAGAAATTTATCATAAGTTGTATCCTCCTATCCACCACAATTGTATTAATTCAACCCAATATTATTACATACAGTATTTCTTTATTTTCTTATCTTTGCTTCTGTAATTTTCATAATTTTGTTGATGGTAAGAATGAAATTTGTCTGTTTGCAGAGGATTATTTCACAACTTGAAACACGAAAGCAAGATGATTAGTGACATGTTAAGTGATGTACGTAAACGGCTATACAGTATCATTTGATCAAGATTTAGCACCCTTGTTAGTTTGAACACTTTAGAGACAGTAACCAACTTCGAACATATTTATGGTCAACCAACTTTAAACATAATAAAGTTAGACTTTTCTTATTATTAAGTGTGATATTAATAAGAAAATATGTTGGTTTATAGATTCAATTGTTACCTGCACAAGACAGCATTCGTTTAGTATACATTGAAAATTTTAAACGCCTCATAAGACGAAAAGCTGTGGCTGTAATCAAGTACATTGAAGATCTTTCGTAAGTTAAATACAGTTCATACATATAGCACCTGAAAATCCTGATACATAAGATATGTTTTCCTTTTTAAATGTATTATTTTTAGTCATTTATCAAATGAGAATTGTCATATTTTAGTTTTTAAATGTTGCTCTTAAATTTGGTTTCAGGAAATATGGTTATGATCGAATGGAAAGCAGTGGATTACAGGAAGTGAGACAACAACTACATTTAACTAAAGATGGTGATTTTCTTATCACACTAGCAAGTGCGGAAAAACTCCGTCCAAATATTTATATGTGTGCCATGGGAGAAGGTGGTCAAAACGGAATTGAAGCGATATATAGGAATGTCCTGGGATGTTTATAGTACAGTAAGTGATAAATAAGAATGTTCTGGGATGTTTATACAGTACAGATGAATTCAGATTAATATCCCATGCTAATTATAACACACTGGTCTAATATAATTTTGTGAGATGTCAAATCACTACTAAATATTTCCTGTATCCGTGGCGTAGCCAGCCTGATGATTTAGTCCCGCTGTCATTAAGATGATTTTTCCATCACCGTCCGCTTAGAATCGCCTTGGTCAAGATGGCTACGTTACTGAACTGCATGGATAATATGGGGGGAATCACCATTCACTATTCAAAACTAATATTTTTCCTTATTTAAACAAATTTTCTGAATACTAAGAGATATGTGTGAATGAAAATATAAATTAATATTTTTAATGATTAAAATTCGTTGATGATTAAAAGAAACTAAAGATTTCTAATAAATTGTAAACTACAAATTTCGTACCCTATTTTATCAGAGAGGTGGGAGCAGAGATTGTTGATGTGGAATATCATAATAATGGAATATCGGGTATTCTAGTGGCTTTAGTTTCTAGCCTTGCGTTTTTTTTCTAATTTTCTCAGACTTTTTTTATTCGTGCTTTTTAACTTTTTCTCACATGCCATATTGTCGATCAACAAATCTTCTGCGTCTTTCGGTTCCACGGCAGAAAAATATTGATAAATTCCTAAGGAATCGTCTAAATCGTGTCTTTGCCATTTCCACTGTGTGGCAGCAAATAAAGAAGCGACGACAAATGATCCGGTTGCTGCGGCTCGGAACGTCCATTGTGGTCCAAGAGTGTGGATTAAATGACCTCCTAATATTGATCCGCTGCCTAATCCCAGTCCCCAGTAAACGCCTTGAAGGATTCCTACGTAAAAGCCAGAAAATACAAGTTCGTTGAGACCCTCAAATGTGCTTCATAATTCAATGCAATAGCGTAGACACAAACCTGAAGGTTTCTCACCTGAGTGGCAAAGCGCTGGCGATAGCGCGAATACCCTGCAAACGAGGTTGCGAGGCTGCTGAACGTCATTCTTAGTTATTTGGAATTACAAGGTTACTTTGTTGCTTAGGATTAAAATTCCAAAAAAATTAATATATTATTCTACTACGTTTCTTTCGGTTGAATTGCCTACGCGCTCTAAGCATTCTTTACTAAGAAATAGCCGAAGAAAATGTCTTGTCTGCCCTGAAAAGAATGATAAATGTTAGGTGTAGTTTACTTACCTTGCATTGTAGTAACCGACTCCTGAGGAGCGGCCTCGGCTAAATATGACGTGCATGCAGTCCATGATGCGGCAAATGTAAAACCACCAAGAAACTCTACAGCCAGTGCAAACCACGGATTAGCCATCGTTGAATACGCAATAAATATCGTCCCATACGATATCAACGATATAAACACAATCTTGATTTGTCCAAATATTTCAATTAACCTACTCACGATGAAAAACATAATCAAGTCTGCTGAGTTACGGGAAAAAATCGAGAGACCCATGAGAGTCTTTGATCCTCCCAGATCTTCAAGAAACCACATTAAAAAGTTATGAAGCAATCCATGGCATATTCCCATATAACAAACTGCGGTTAGGAAGGACACATAATGAATTGAGAGAACTGTAGAAAGTACACCATTGCTGGTTTCTTCTACATCTTTATATCGAAACGTGAAGTTTGCTGAAATTACTAAAGTTATTAACATGAATGTCGTAAATACGGAAAATGAACTCGTGTAATCAACGAACTGTTCATTGCATGTAAGATGACGTGACCGTTCCAAGAGGGTTCCAACCAAGAACGAAGCAATTCCGTGACCTAACGATCCCCACAGTCGTTGCCTTCCGTAATGTATTCGATACTCCCCGAGGTATTCCAGAAGAGATGCGTCGGATAATGGCGCCGAAGGTGTCTCCAGAAACTCTCCTACAACAATGAGCACTAAGAGAATCACGAAAAGTCGTTTCATTTCGTTTCTATTGGATTTAAAAAGATTAGTCTGTACCACTGTTAATGTGTTATTTGTGTGTTTAACTCGACGATTATAACTTTGGGCCAGTTTTATAACTTTGTCTTCTTTTATCTTTTGGTATTTTGATGTTCCGTTTTTTCCAGGCTTATCACTTGTTTGTTTTGTTTCGAGTGATCCTTCACTAGTTTTGTTTACGGACTTAACGTGCTGACTTTCAGCTCTGTTCATGTTGTAATAATGTGCGTCTGTTGATGTATCTCCGCTCTTATGCGCAGTGGCAAAAAACTTAGCAAGTTCTGCTCCGGCTGAAGATTTGCTTTTGCCGTTCATATTAAACGGATCAAAGACTTTGTGTTCGTCCGTAGATCCTTCGTCTAGTATTTGATGGTCACCGGAAGAAGAAATTATATTTGACTCTGGTTTTTTGGAGGTATTGTTTACTGATGAAATCTTTGCTTCAAAATCATTGAGCAATGTTTCTGACACTGCCATTCCTTTCTTTCCAAATTCATTATTGGCAATCCCATCGCTGATTTGGCCACGTTTGGTTTTCGCGTCGTAGCCTAGCTTGCTCTTTTGTTGTTTTCTATAGTCTAATTTCGTACGAGTTGTTACCTCAGTGTCAAAATAGTTTTTTAACTTTTGCTGAACTGGCCCATCAGTGGATCTTTTAAAAAATCCCGTTTTATGTTTCGTATAGTTCACAAACACATTATGAGAAGAATTTTTAGCGGTAAACTCGCAAATCTCTTCAGTTGGTTCAACAAATACTAAAGCTATAGTCATTACTAGCCAAGCCATAATAGACATAACGAGTATCGCTTTTCTCTTTCGAAACTTATCCGCAACAACGGTCCAAAATGGCGCACTGGCAAGCTGCACAATCGGGCGAATGCCCACAAGAAGGCCGACAGCAAAAGCGGAGAGACCAATCTGGCGTAGATATACGGGAAGGTATGGATTTATTGCACCCAGCGCTCCGAAGTAAAAGAAATAAAACGATTTGTAAATAATTAAGTCTTTGTTTACCTTCCATGAGTAACTTGAAGCCATTTCCTTTAGCAAGGGATAACGACGCTACATACTGTCATTTTCTGGTATAGTGTAATTTTAATATTATAAATATTGCCTCTCATTCTATGCTTCGATTCAACGTTATTGTAATAATATAAACAAATACTGTAACGCATCGACTTACAGTCTGTAAACACTCGCAATATTCGTTTTAATGATCTTTTGAACAAAACAAAGCAGGTAGCTCAGTGCAAGGCGAACAGGTCCCATCCAACAAGATTGCTTGTATAATTTCTATGCATGCATCCTACGCGTAGACATAGTGATTATTATCATGTATCAGTATCATGTTTTTGCGTGTACCATTTCTTTTCAAATTGATTTTTCTTTCATGATAGATAGGAAAACATGTTCTTCGTAATAAGTTTTGGTTTGTGCAAGAATATTTGATCCCTTGCATTTGCTGGTTTCAAATTTTCTTTAAAAATATATGTCATGAAACATTCCCTGTTTGGATAAAAACTTATATTTTACAAAATTTTATAATAAAAACTTGTATTTTAAAACAATAATTTGATTTAATTTTCAATTTTCAATTTAATGCACCTATGCAGTATTTTAGTTCCAGATATATTTTTATATTATGTTATGTATATATTTTGTTATCCATGGCATGCATGTGGATTAAAACGTAATCTCTCATATTATAAACCTCTACAAAGTTCAGGTGCCACATTCTAAAATTTACGATGGATATATCATATCATATATATTATAAATTATAATACATATAATTTGTGTCAAAGCCAATGCATGCATGCATGTAAAAATCATTCTTCGACGTAAGTGCATGAAGAGTGCGAATGTGCATATATAGCATTACTCAACAGAGCAAACCCATCCATGGTGGGACAATTATTATACTATTTAAACTATTAAATTTCTATAATAATTTCAAAAGCTATCTTTAGACTGTTATTAATTCTACAGGGTGTTCCAAAAAAGTTAAATTTTAAAAATATAGACATTCAATCATTTCTATAATACCATAAATGTGGACTAACAAGGATATCAGGGTTTAACTGACAGAGCAAAGGGTAGTATTTTGTTGCGATTCAGTTTCAAAATAAATGTCTAACCACTCGCGGTTTAAGATTGGTTTAAAGAACAGTAATAAATATGTGATAATTTTTTTTGTTTCTTTGTTTGGACACCCTCTAAAAGTATATAACATAGTCTTTATAGTGTGAAAGATATTTTAATCTAAGGACCATAAAGATCTAAGGACCTTTTGTTTCTGTATTTTTTGTTTCTGATGATTCAGGATTGTCTGATAAATTTACTTTATCTTCACGTGATGGTACTGTGTTGTACTTGCTGATCAACCATTGAGATATAACAAAAAAAAATGTTACAACTATCGTTGCAGTTCCTCCAATACGATATGCTGAAATGATACCATATTGGTTGATTAAAACTCCACCAAGAATAGCACCGATGCCTGTCCCGAGGCCCCAGTAAATTCCTTGTAAAATACCTATATATAGTCAAAGAAAATTACGTAAAAATGTTAACAATTGAGTTACCGAGTTGGACCATGCATTTTTTGCGTGGATATCTTTTAGGTGTGTTTCAGATGTCAAACGTTTCATGTGCCCATTAAAATTAGGCTCCGCACATGAAAAGTTCGACATCGGAAACGGGCCTTAGTGTAGAGTACGAGGTTAAACGATGATTTATCTTAGTTCAAATTGATCAAGTATATCACATGAATACAACACCGTAAGGAATATACTTACTTTGCATGGTGGCTGCTCCATCATCTGGTGTTACCGCTGATAAATATACAATGCAAGTCGCCCACGATAATGCGTAAACGAAGCCTTGCAGTATTTCTAATGGAATAACAAGCCAAGGGTTGACCAAATTCGAGTAACCAAAAAATATAACAGCAAACGCCACCAGAGACCAAAACACTGACGGTAACTCTCCGAGTCGGTTGATTAGCACGCCAGATAAAAAGAAACCAACAATCACAGCCATTGATCTGATTGTTGTGGCTAAACCCATCATAAACTTACTAGCACCTAGATCTTCCAAATACCAATTTATGAATGTCACCTGCCCACCATTTCCAATTCCCATAAACCAAACAGTAAGCAAAAATGTCGCATACTTTGCTGAAAAGCACAGCTTATAAACCTTGAATATGCTTGAATCGCAGGAAGTCGAATTTTCATTGTACTTGAACGTTATAAGTGCCAATACAAAAATCAACCCTATTATCATGAATGCAACAAAAAAATAGAAAATCACCATGTAGTCGTTCATTTCTCGTCCACAATAAATGTATCTGGTTGTGTCTAGGACAGCACCAACACCAAATGACGCTAAACCATAGCCCATAGAGCCAAAACAACGCGTCTTACCATAGTCATGACATTTATCACCTAGTTTCTGAATCAACGCTGTGTCAATCATAATAAATGACGGTGCTTCGAAGATCTCACCCACCACTATTAAGATAAGAAATATGTAAAATAGAGTTCGAAGCTCATTCTTATCATAAACAATGATTTTTGTTTGTTCTTCCTCTTTCTTGACTGCAAGACCTATCGTGGATTTTTTCTTTGCAAAAAGACCTTCAGTTACGGGAATAGGAGCTAAGGGAAGACCAGAGTATGACACACTTCGATGGACGTCCCGTATTTGAACATGATTAGTTGAGTTGAATTGTTCACATTTTGTCTTCTTTGGTTGAGGGAATGCTAAAGCTAAAGTGAATATCAGCCATGCAACGACAGACATACTCAACACAAGTTTCCTGCTCTGATATTTGTCAGCCAAATAAGCCCAAAACGGCCCACTTACGAACTGGACTAATGGCCGTATTCCTGATAGCGTACCAACATATGATGCCGTGAGTCCCATTTGCTTAAAATATATTGTCAAATAGGGAAATGTTGAACCAAATCCAGCGAAGAACAAGAAATAAAATGCTTTGTACGTGAGCAAAGTTCTATCTGGAAGTAATGATTCATCTTCTCCTTCTTCATTCGTTGAATTTTCTTGTTCTTCTTTGTTTCTTTGTTGCGGGTCTTCACTTCCTTCGGGTGATTGAGTATCAGTAGTTGGTAAAGTACGACTTTGCATATTTAGCTTTTAGAATTTAGAATTATATGGATAATACTTAATTGACTCTTTAGACACAATTTATGATTTCAGTCAGCGCCGTAACAGTACCTGTTGTTTATAGTTGTTGACTGATTTTATCACACCCCATGCACTGCTCATAAAATATCTTCTAACACAAAATAAATACAAATAACTGAATGCAAACAAGTTATTTTTTCATTTTATGGATACGAATATAAAACTTCATTACCGCTCTTCTGATGCGGATAAATGTTTAGCTACAGGTGGTGGTTATAATTTCTTTAACGCTTGAATGAAATCATTGAAGATTTGTCTAAGTGCATGCATTCATAACCTAGCATGACAACATGTTCTAACGAATTTTTTATCTTATTGCTATGACATAGACACTACGTATTTTCTGGGTAGCGCAGTTAAATCTGTGCTCACAACTTGTAAAAATTGATCAAATATACACCTTGACACCTAGCTATAATTCCACACATGCACTTAAACCAATCAATGTCTCCTTGGAAAAGCACAGATTTTACTTGTGAATGGACTTAGTGTAAAAAATAAAGATGCCATTCATGTCAGAAATCGCGCGGCTTTCTGTGCCCCATCGACAAGTAAATTTTGCAAATAGATTGTTCGGTCTGATCCGGTCGGATAATAGTGTCGACTGCCTGGAATATTTCTACAAGTCATAATCCCCGACGGACGAAACGAAGGTCTGTGTTCAGGCTACTGCCGGAGTGTCGCAAAATAAGGGACTGTAACTCTGTAAGCTTGGTCCGTGGCTGTTTAATTTAGAAATTTTAAAACTTTTCGCAAATACCCAAGTTTTTAACGTAAAATTTATACCAAAATTTTTAGCGTTTTTTAAAATTTTTGAAATTTTGAAAATTTTTCAACTGATAAAACGAAGTATTCTTAATTTTCCTAATTTTTGAAATTTAAAAATACTTTGATAATTTTAATTTCTTTTAATTTTTGAGGTGGTTTTAAAAAATCACGATTTATTCTGCTTTTAAAATTTTTAGGGGATGAAAATTAGGATTTTGGTCCCGGGTTAGCGATTTGACTGAAATTTTGAAATTTATCAAAGTATGATTTTATGTCTCGAATGTATTGTTTTGATGAAAGAATGCAATTGTACTTAAGGTGGCTCCCTACAATTTTTAAAAATATTGAAAACTTGTGGTTTTGATTTAAAATTTTAGCACGAGATTTCTTGCTAAGGAAAAGAAATTTCCCAGATATATTAACCAACATTCTAACAGTCAGAAATTGCCCACAAGCATGACGTCATTACCGTTGTTATGGTAACAAAAGCGATTCAATATGGCCGACATTTTACCTATTCGCGCATTTTACTCGAAAACAAGTTCGGTTACCCCAATTTTTTATTTTATAAAGGGTTTTGTTACAAAAAAAATGGAAAATTTGAGTCAGTTTAAGAAAATTCTATAGAGCCAAAATTATTAAAAATTGAAAAACGTGATTTCTCGTTATAGAATTTTTTTGGCTCTATAGAATTTTTTTAAACTTGCTCAAATTTCCCATTTTTTTGTAAGAAAACTTTTTATAAAATAAAAAATTGGGGTAACCGAACTTGTTTTCAAGTAAAATGCGTGAATAGGTAAAATAACGGCCATATTGAATCGCCATTGTTACCATAACAACGGTAATGACGTCATACGTGATCAAAATTTTCGACTGTTAGAATGTTGGTTAATATATCTGGAAAATTTCATTTCGTTTAGCAAGAAATTTCCTGCTAAAAATTTCAATCAGAATCATCAGTTTTCAATATTCCTAAAACTGTAGGGAGCCACCTTAATTCTGAAACATTTCGACGTATTTTCAACCGAATTTTTGAAATTTCAAAAAATTGACGAAAATTAGGTTTTTTCCTTTGTTCCCCCGTTGCCGATTTGGTTGAAATTTATCAAAATATTTTTTTGGTTTCAAATGTATTGTGTTCATGAAAGATTGAATTCTTATCAATTTTGAGTATGATTTTATGTGTTCAAATGTATTGTTTCGATGAAAAAATGAAATTCTGAAGCATTTCGACGTATTTTCAACCCAATTTTAAAATTTCAAAAAATTCACGAAAGTTAGGATTTTTCCTTTGGTCCCCCGTTACCAATTTGGTTGAAATTTTGTATTTCATCAAAGTATGATTTTATGTGTTCAAATGTATTGTTTTGATGAAAGAATGCAATTGTACTTATTTCTGAAGCATTTCGAAGTATTTTGAACTGAATTTTGAAACTTCAAAAAATTGACGACGATGAGAATTTTTCCTTTGGTCCCCCGTTGCCAATTTGGTTGAAATTTTGAAATTGATCAAAGTATGATTTTCTGCGTTGAAATGTATTTTTAATGAAAAACTGCAATTGTACTTAACTCTGAAGCATTTCGACGTATTTTCAATTGAATTTTGAAATTTCAAAAAATTCGCGAATATTACAATTTTTCTTTTGGTTCCCCGTTGCCAATTTGGTTGAAATTATGTATCGTATCAAAGTATAATTTTATGTGTTCAAATGTATTGTTTTCATGAAAGAAAGCAATTGTACTTATTTCTGAAGCATTTCGAAGCATTTTCAACCGAATTTTGAAATTTCAAATAATTGACGAAAATTAAGATTGTTCCTTTGGTTCCCCGTTGCCAATTTGGTTGAAATTTTGAAATTTATCAAAGTATATTTTATGTGTTCAAACGTATTGTTTTCATGAAAGAATGAAATTCCGAAGCAATTCGACGTATTTTCAACCGAATTTTGGAATTTCAAATATTTGACGAAAATTAGAATTTTTCCTTTGGTCCCCCGTTGACGATTTAGCTGAAATTTTGAAATTTATCAAATTATGATTTTATGTGTTCAAATGAATTGTTTTTATGAAAGAATGCAATTCTAATTAATTCTGAAGCATTTCGACGTATTTTCAACCGAACTTTGAAATTTCAAAAAACTGACGAAAATTAGGATTGTTCCTTTGGTCCCCCGTTTCAGATTTGTCTGGAATTTTGAAATTTATCAAAATATTTTTTTGGTTTCAAATGTATTGTGTTCATGAAAGAATGCAATTCTAATTAATTCTGAAACATTTAGACGTATTTTTAACCGAATTTTGAAATTTCAAAAAATTGACGAAAGTTAGGTTTTTTCCTTTGTTCCCCCGTTGCTGATTTGGCTGAGATTTTGAAATTTTTTTTCATCAATTATTTTCTTCCTTGTCAAAATTATTTTTCTTGTGTTTTCCACAGGTATACTTTTGAAAATGTGAAGGTGTACTTCGTTTTTCGTCTAAATTATTTTTCTTTCGCCCAAACTTTTCCCAGCGAAAATTTATTTTCTCTCAATTTTTTTCTTGTGTCCAATTTTTTTTTGTCAAAAATTTTTTTTTGTGTCAAAATATTCTATTTTGTCAAAAATTTTTTCTAGTGTGAAAATATTTTATTTCTTCAAAATTATTTTTCTTGTAAAATTTTTTTGCTTTTAAAAAAGTTTCGAGCAATTGGTTCATTTTTAGAATATTAAAAAAGTCGTCAATTTGGCTTAATTTAGTATTATAAAACCCTTCGCTGTCGCAGTGAACGTGTAATAATCCCACAATCACCACATTAAGCAATGTCATATATACTGAACCTTCGACTCTTGGAGTCATACCCATTGTGTTATTCTTGAACCTTAACGGGGCGCTGTGGGTTTTTGTATAATAATATAAGTTTGTTATCAACACCCGATCCGGTGGCCTAGTGGTTAAGGCTATGACCGGAAAGGTTGTAAGGGTAGGTTCGAATCCTGCATGGGAGTAGTCGCATTTTTCCCACCGAAATTATTAAAATTCTTCGATCGTCGGATTGTATTTTAATACCAACCTTATAATATATATATTATTCCGGTGGCTCAGTGGTTAAGGCTACGGCCTACCAGGCTGTAAGGGTAGGTTCGAATCCTGCATGGGAAAGGTTCGATTTTTCCCACCGAAATTACTATTTAATTTAAATTCATTGAAAAGAATTAGGTCAAATAAAGAACAATAGCTTCCGACAAATGATGCGGTGGTCTAGTGGTTAAGACATTCGTTTCTCACTCCGATGACAAACGGTTCAACTCCTGCAATGCAAAAAAATTAGCCCGAAATTTTCGATGTGGTTTGGAATGTTTAAAACAGTTAAAAGAGACTTCTCGGCCTTTGCGAAAGACAGAAAATTGAAAAAAATTTGAAATAAAGAAACTCAAAAAAAATATTGCGTTCAAAAGTACCTGAAAATTGAAAGAAAGCACAAGTAAAATAAATTTTAAAAACACATGTCTTCTAAAAAGCCTGAAAATGAAGAAAGTCAGACGGAAAAAAAATTAAAAATTTCCCGCTTTTAAAAAACTCATGTTTACTTACCTTAATTTTTTTCACGAAAATTTGACAGGGTGATTTTCTCGAGACTGAAAAAATTTAATTTTTTTCACTTTTTTGAAATTATCTTAGATTTTTTTTTTGACGCGAAAGTATTTTGTCTTGGGCTACCTGTGTCAAGCCAGACACAGGTAGCCCAAGACAAACACAGGTAGCCCAAGACAAAATACTTTCGCGTCAAAAAAAAATCTAAGAGAATTTCAAAAAAGTGAAAAAATTAAATTTTTTCAGTCTCGAGAAAATCACCCTGTCAAATTTTCGTGAAAAAAAATTAAGGTAAGTAAACATGAGTTTTTTAAAAGCGGGAAATTTTTTTATTTTTTTTTCGTCTGACTTTCTTCATTCATTTCAGGCTTTTTAGAAGACACGTGTTTTTAAAACTTTTTTTAATTGTGCTTTTCTTTCAATTTTCAAGGACTTTTGAACGCGAGAATTTGTTTTCATTTTTTTTATTTCAAATTTTTTTCCATTTACAGTCTTTCGCAAAGGCCGAGAAGTCTTTTAACTGTTTTAAGGCTTCCAAAATCACACCGAAATTTTTCAGGCAATTTGTGTGCATTGCCAGGAGTTGAAACATCTGTCCCCGGGTTGAGAGACGAACGCCTTAACCACTAGACCACCACATCATTTGTCGAAATCTATTGTTCTTTATTTGACTAAATCCTTTTCGACGAATTTTAAATTAAATAGTAATTTCTGTGGGAAAAATCGAAATTTTCCCATGCAGGATTCGAACCTACGCTTACAACCTGGTAAACCGTAGCCTTAACCACTGGGCCACCAGAATAACACATATATTGTGAGGTTGATATCAA